GATCTTAAAATCCAGATCCACAATCAATTTACAATATCAAAATCGGATCCATCAATCCATAAGAAAAAGAAATCAGAACATGTTCCTAAAAAAAAGAAAAGAGAAAGAGTAAAAGAAGAGAAGTTACAAAATTTCTTCATAAATTCAATCCCCAGCCTGATTCTTCCAAGTCTAGAGCTTGGAAATCGCCCACAATCTCCCTCTCTAACTCTCCTAAGGTGTGGAAATGAAAAAATGAGAAAAGATACAAGTTTCTGGGCTAATCTCTTATTTATATAATTTCTCGCCTTTCTGGCGTGATCACTATTTGTCATAAAAGTAGCAACGCAGATGTTTATGGTCTACGCATGTTCACTTTCGTGAACAATAGGAGTCATGCGTAATTTGAACGATCACTTTTGTAAGGAAAAGTAATCATGCGCAGCTTGAACGATTACTTTTGTCAGCAATAGTGATCACGCGCATCTTGCTTTGCTAGAGACTTCTCTGGAACGATCACTTTTGTTCACAAAAGTGATCATGCGCACTTTGCTATGCAAGGGAACTCCCTGGAACACTCACTCTTGTAAATAAAAGTGACTACACGTGCTTTGCTTTACTGGGGAACTCTCTAGACCGATCACTTTTATGAACAAAAGTGATAAATCACAGGTCTTTCTTCAATATTAAGCTTTTGGAACAATCACTTTTGTGAACAAAAGTGATAACACCCAACTCTTGCTTCACCAGACCTTGTTCCTTGATTCTAATTTTTGCTACTTTCTTCTATTTTCTCTCTTGATCCTCCAACCTTATGATCTCAGCTCAGAGTTTCCTGCAAAACAAATGAAATTACATCAAAATTCTATCAAATTCACACAATTTGAATTATTAAAGACAACAATTTACTTTATTGAATATTTATATATATTTTTGTGCAGTTTTCGCTTTCTAAATTACTTTTTCTATCAAAAATAACCTAGAAAACTACATAAAAACCTAGTAAAATCTGCATTTATCATTGTATATTCTCAAAAATTGATCTCCATTCCAGGTTCCATCAAATCAGGATGTCAAAATTGACATTCCAAAGATTGAATTAAAAACTCATAACTGTCAATATAAGTACACTGTGATGCCCTAAAGACTTTCAAATGCACCTGCGACATTCCAAGCAATAATAAATGAGTGCATGCACTTGTTTCTTTATAAGTTTCTGGTAATTTTTTTTAACAATATTTTGATATACAGCTCAAATATCTAGCAGCACATCAGTCATTTAGAAGCCGTATTAAACATACTATAAGAGCATAAATTACTCATATGACAAAAGAAGTGTTTATTCGCACAATCTCATACGAAGTATCTCAGGCACATGGTCTCCGAAAAATAAGTTCAGGCAGATCTATCTAAAATATAAAAATTGTTGCAATAGCCTACTCCAAAGACAGTTACTGAACTTCATGACTTTTTAGGATTGATGGGATATTACCGAAGGTTCATTAAGTATTATGCTTAAGTTGTTACCCCTTTGATAGCACTATTACGAGCAAATGCCTTTATGTGGAATGATCAAGCACAAGCAACATTCGAGAAGCTGAAGAAGTGTATGACAAAAACGCCTGTACTCACACTACTTAATTTCAACCAAGACTTTGTTATCGAGATAGATGCTTCAAACAATGACATTGGTGCATTACTTTCACAGGAAGGTCACTCGATAACATTCTTTAACAAAGAATTAAACCGTAAAATGGCAGGAACCTTTGTCTATGTGAGAGAGTTGTATGCAATAACACAGGAAGTATCTAAATGGTGACATTACCTCCTCAGGCATCGATTCAAAATCAAAACAGATCACCAGAGCCTCAAAGACCTTATGAACTAGGTAATTCAAACCCCTGAACAACATCATTACCTATGCAAGTTATTAGGCTTTGACTACTATATTGTATACAAACCAGGTAAACAAAACAAAGCTGTAGATGTTATTTCCTGCTTACCTGTAACAGCCACAGAAGTTAACTCTTTTCACACAGTTAGCTACTCAATTCTTCCTATGTTACATGAGGCTACTACAAAGGATGACTCCCTTTAAGGCCTGATCAGTCTACTTCAAAACTAGCAACGCACAAATTTAATATTACAAAATAATGTAGTCCTGTATTAGAATAGACTTATGGTTGCCAATGATAACAACATCTAAAAAATACTTATCCAAGAATGTCACAACACGCTAGTAGGCTGACATGTAGGGGTTTAAAGAACTTACACCAGGCTACAAGAAAATTTTGAATGGATCTTCATGCACAAGGATGTGAAAGACTTCATTTGCAATACCAAATTTGTCAACAAATAAAAATTTTGATAAAGAAAAAGGATGGCTTACTGCAACTATTGCCTTGCCCACATAACATTTTGGAAGACATTTTTATGGACTTTATAACATCACTACTAAGGTCCTCAAGGCACACAATAATATTAGTTGTAGTTGATCATTTTTTTAAGATGACATATTTTGGAGCCTTACAATTAGGATATACAGTAGTTATAGCGATTGACATTTTCACATATATCATTGTCAAGTTGCATGACTTCCCACATTCCATAGTATCTGATATAGACCTTTATTTGTCAATCACATTTGGCGTCATCTAATGCGTTTGTAAGGAACAAAGCTAAAGTTCTTGACCTTTTACCACACTCAAATGGACGAATAATCAAAAGTTTTGAATAGATGCCTCAAATAGTACCTCCATGCCTTTTTACTTGACCAACCCACCTTGTGGTTTTGATTTCTCCCTTGGGCAAAATACTATTACAATACATCCTTTCATTCATCAATAAAGATGACATCGTATCAGATCATTTATGGAAGACCACCAACATCATGGCCAATACCATTTAGAACTGAGCACCATTCAAGCTGTTATGAAGAACTAGTTATTCAAGAAGGTTTGCATCTTAATCTCTGAAATAATCTACAAGCTGTAGCAAATAGGATGAGAAATCAAATAGACAAATTCATAAAAGATATCAGTTTCAAAATTAAAGAGTTTGTGCGGTTAAAAACTCAATATCACAAATAAACTTCAATTGGTCACAAAGAGTATCATAAGCTTAGGAGAAAGTTTCAAGGCCCTTACTAGATCACGAAGAAGATTGGATCAGTAGCATGTCACCTCAAATTGCCACCAAATTCGCGCATACATGATGTATTCCACATTTTATTCTTGTGCCCTTTTTGTAAAGATCAAACTCCCAATACACCTCAGTGGAAACTACAAGCAGTGCCGCCCCATGAAGCCATACCTCCATCATTAGCAATTCTAGCCAAGCGCAATTCAGAGAGCAACAATGAAACCCTTATTAAAGTCCTCATGGAGTGGACAAGAGCACCACGCAAATACGCATTGTTTGGAGGGCAAGTGTACCCATCGAGAAGTAATAAAGGGTTCTTAAATTAAGTTCCTGAAATATTATCCCACAAGGATTGTTTTCAATTACTAAAAATTTCCTAATTCAATTGTTTAATCTTCAAAGATATGGGAATAATAAAAAGAAAAATTTATAAAATTCATTCTAAAATTAAGAGCAAGGAATACAATGCACGTCTTGGTTAAACTTATTAGAGAGGAACCTAGGGCATATGGGTTTTCTCATTCAATCCTTTGTGTTATTCTTCTGTTTAACTCTAAATTCGATTTTTTTGTGATTACCAATCATTCATATGAATACTATTAATACCCAATGGTCATGCAATATTAATATTCTTTTCTTTAAATCAACATCTCCAATGGTCATGCAAGACATTAATTTAAGAGAGCTTAAGGAGCCTACGAACTTGTTAATTTAATAAAGATTAGGAGAGAAAGATTGGTTTGGTTCACCTAATTCTTTGTCTCATTTTACCCTATAGATCTATTAATTAACCGAGGTACAGTTGCATGACGATATAATTAATTAGGATTAAGAAAGAAGCGCAATAGGATAAAATCTAATCATAAAACAAAAATCAAATTTAGATTCAAACATCAAAATTCCATAAATTCATGAACAATAGTTCCCATAGCTCTATCTATGGACTTAGTTACTCATGCTAAAGAAAAGAACTAAAACAATCATAAATAAAGTCATAATCAAAAGAAATAACAAACTAGATTATGTGATGTGTTTCCGGTCTTCAAGTACGATCGCTTACAGTTCCAAGTCTCGCCAAGCATGTGCAAGAGAGACGAGATGAGAAGTGTATCCGAAAGCCAAAGATTAGATGTAAAAACGTTTCTTTACGATGCCTAAGATGTCCTTTTAATAAGGTTTGAAAACCCTAAAGACTCTTGATAATTGTTCTTCTCATAGATGAGCACGGACCCTATATTAACCTCAGGGACAAGGTTATTGTTGAAGGGATGAGTATTTGATAGAGCTGGACCCAATTGCTCACTGCACCACTCTCTATTACAGCCAATCATTAGTGTTGTTTAGCGATGAGTCTTTAGTGAAGGGTTATTCAAAATCTAATTAATCCTAATAGCTTATAAACAACAATTCTAAAACAAGAGAAGAAAGATTAGTAATTTTGGAAAAATTAGAGTTTCAAAGGCAAGTGACAGGTCATTGTCTTTGGTTACGATATCTGTATAATCTTCCACCGAATATTCAATAAACTTCTTCCTTGCCATCACCCTTTGTACTATATATTGAAATCAAATAAAGACAACTAAATAATAAAATTTGAACATGCATCATATACATTGACTTTCATCATCTTAGCTAGAGCTTGCATTTAATTTTCTAACAAATTGATACTTTCAACATGATAGATCAAAGTAGTATCCTTATTTTTATCCATGTAGTGGTTAGATGTTTGCCATTGGAAACTACTAGTTATCATCTCATATATTAGTCTATATGCCTTATTTGGCTCCTTTATGATGGTTCCTCCACAACCTACATCAACCATGGACTTATTAGAGAATGATATCCTATTGTAAAATAGTTATAGTTGTCATCAAACAGGAAAACCATGGTGTGGACACTTCCTTATAAGTTCTCTAAACCGCTCCTAGTCTTCTTATAGAGATTCAGACTCATATTGCTTGTAACTTGATATTTCTGCAATTAGCTTAGAAAAATAAGATGGGGGAATGTATTTTCCCATAAATTGGTGAGTCAGATCATCCTATGTCATGATGAAATTGGTTGGTAGGATCAAGAACTACGCATTCACCTTTTCTATGACAAATAAAAAAAAGGCAAAGTTTAATAATATATAAGGTGACCCTATCGTACTTTATAGTATTTGTAAGTTAAAGAAACTTCTTCTGATGGAGGTTAGGGTCTTCATTGTATGAATCTTTAAACTCTATAGAGTTCTAAATCATACTTATTAGAACTAGTTTCAACTCGAAGTTATTGACCTCCATATTAGAGGTCATAATACTTTTAGCAACCCTCAGTAGAGGGTGCAAGATAATCTTGTAGATAACTTTATCTCTCTGTCATTCTTTGTTCTCTAAACTCTTTTATTCATCTATGTGTAATCTTTCAATTTTGAGATCAAATATTAAATCTGCAAGAGACTTGGAACGAACAACCATATAATAAAAGAGATCAAATAAAAACCAATACAACAAAACACAAATTTAAAAGTTAAAATTAAATAATGAAAAAAATAAAATAAAATAAGTTGTTCAAATCAATTAAGTGCTATATTTTTTTAGTATTGCAAAAGAATCCCAGACAAAAATGTCAAAAACTTGTTAATGGGCAAGCATATCCGTCAAAATAGGGTTCTCAAATTAAGTTCTCAGAATATCGTCCTACAAAAATTATTTTCAATTATTAAGACTATTGTAATTTAATTGTTTGAATTTAAATAATGTGTAATGAAAATAAAGAGAAAATAATCAAAAGATAAAGAAAACAGCGCAACTTCTAACAAGAAATTATTTGGGAGGAACCTAAGACTTGCAGCTTCACCTTTATACTTCTTTTTGTTTATTTTTAGTTTAATTCAAACATTGATTTCCACAAGTCATCAAAAGGTGGCTAACCAAAAGTCTCTAGGTAAAAAAGTGTCTTATTCAAATTTGTGAGACTCTTTTAAGTAGAGTGTGAAATTTGAGAAAAGATAATGATTTGACCTCTAAAAAATATGCTTTATCTTTAATACGACCGTGCATGGTCATGAAGCACCCTTATATTGGCTGTAAAGTAAGGTCATGTTTCATGTTGAGTGTGTACCTACTTTCTATTAATTTAAATCAATCGCAACCAAAAAGCATCAATATCATATTGGTAACCTCTTTATGATAAATTATAACAAATAATAAGTATATCAGTGCAAAATCCTTATCGAGTAAAGGCCAAGCATATAAAAAATAAGTCATAAAAATACTCTAAAATATAGACTTATCAATGAGGTACACAGAGAGTGACTTGTGGCTACCGAGTGGGAAAAAAAACTAATCAAAAAATGGTTGGACCTAAGAAAGATGAAATAAATGACAAGGAACTTGTAGAGAAAAATAAAAAAGAAAGACAATTTTGAAGGAAAAAAATGTGATCTTTATATCATTGGTCGTGGAAAAGAGGGGACGAAAGGACAACAAGTAGTACACCCTTAGCAAGCCAAATTTCTAGACCCACATTTCAAAAGTGTGACAAGGTCACATGCAACATAAGGGCATTTGTACGTCTAATAGGTGCTGATCATAAGTAAAAAAGTCTTCAATAGAAGTACTTTTTGCAATTAATTATATGTATTTAATCCCTAATTCTCTTAATTGTTAGTAATTATAGCCATATACATATGTTAATAGTTGAACATGGATTTAATAAGAATTGATTTGAAAAATCTTATTTAGTAAGTGAATTGAAATGAAAAGAATAATATGGTAGGAAGTAAGGAATGCTAAAAACTATTAGGCAATCACAATTCCTCGCTTGAGCTAACTTCCTCTCGTTTGAGCAAGTAAGTCAATTAGAAGAAGAGATTTGTTGCTGTCAAATCTTGCTTGAGCGGGCCTCTCCTGCTTGAATGAGAGACTCACTACGAGCAGAAGACTTCTACCACCATGTGTCCCTTGAGTGAGGCATGGCTCACTTGAGTGAGAATGTTGACAGAGGATAGATTAACTGCTTCCATATCCCTGCTTGAGCGAGGAGTGCCTCACTTGAGCGAGGACCTTTCTTCTAAATGAAGTTTTCTCCTTATCTGAGCGAGAATTGGCGCCCAAGTGAGAATCCACTTGCCTTGAAGCATATTTAAAGCGACCTAAAACAAAAGCAAAGGATGCTTCAAAGATTTTTTGAGGAAAAACCACAAATAAGTCAAAGGAGAAAATTAGAGACACTGAGATCATTTATAATTCACCTTGTATTGATCATAGAACTAGCTGAAATCTTATAATGATTGTCATGAACAACTAATCTTCTTCTTAGAATTAAATGTAATCATCAACCTGTGATGTATTCTGACCGATTTACCTACATATATATATATATATATATTTGATATTTAATGTTACAAATCTTGGTTTTATTATTCTACTCTTAATGCTTGAATCTATCTAATCAATATATTCTTGATGTTAAAATTTGAGTTATAACTAGAAAGTATTTCTCTGTATTTGAGGAATTAATACAAATGAAAATTATGTGTAGCAACAACATTTGTGAATTGGATTGTTATATATCAATGAACCAGCAGAATACAACAGAGGGAGATTGATGAAGTTCAATCCTAGCCTATTAATTCTAAATTAAATCTTATTTAGCAATTTTCATTTCTACTTCTTTTTCCTAACTACAAGATTTTCTGAAGAAAACTTACGTCAAAACCAACCTTACTGTAAATTACTTAAAAAGCTAAATACTTGAGAGAATTTAATTTTGCTATCCTTATGAATACAATATTCACTCACCACTTTATTATAAGCTGGTTCTGGTATTTACACAAGAAATTCAACAATATCCATGCAAAAATGCCTAACCCCAACTCACTAAGTCAATTCAGTAACAGTATAACACTTGATGGAGGTCAAGCCATGAAACTAGAACTTGGCCAGTAAAATCATTTCAAATTTTTAGAGACATAATTGGTAAACACTATAGTTCCAAGATCGACAACAAGAAATGAAAAGGAGCTTATGGTGGAAGTGGTGGGGGATACATCCCCCAATGCTTAAATCTCAACCCTCACAGCTCACCTTGTGATGTTATAATTTAAAGAACTTTTAATCCTTTCCTAAACTATTAGAGGAGTTGGTAACATGAAGGGACAAATACATGTCAAGGATCTTATTAGTAGATACCAGCCTATAATGCTTTTTCCTTGTGAGACATTGAATTCACTAAAACGTCTCAATTTTGGAGGGAAGTAGGTTATTTACCAGTCTTAGTAGTTGAAGCCCAATGAAACTTAGGTAGTTTATGGGTTCTTGCTCAAGAAAATAATTAGTTCATCTTTATGGTGATTCATATTGACCCTTATTTTATCACCATTAAAATAAGGGTAATAGATAAAGAATAAAACTATACTTGTATTTATGTTGCTCTGTGGCCACCAGAAGAGAAAAGACGTGGATAATCTTAAAGGGTGTTCATATCAATTTTTCTACTCCATGGATGTTGATTGGAAACTTCAATGAGGTGTAATTCTTTTCTAAGCAAAAAATTGAGATTTATTCATACTATAAGGATCTAGCATTCAATATTAGGCTTAATAACTATGACTTAACCAATATTTCTTCATCGGTTATGTATTCACTTGGCATAGGAATCATAATGATCAATGCACTCTTTTGAAGAAAGTAGACCGAGATGTGATAAATCTACCTTAGTTAAAAAGTTTTCTAGAAGCCTTTGTGGAAACACTTACTCTTCTCCACTTTGATCATAGTCCCCTTTTGTTAAGGATTGGAGATCTTCCACTTCTACGTGAGCCTCAGCCTTTTCACTTCCAAGCAGCTTGGATAGTTCACAAAGACTGATTCATTTGTTTTTATGACATGGAAGGAAGGTAAGAGGAATCCCTTCTTATCATTTTAGAAGGTCAGAGATGATTATATCATTTTCAACAATGAGACATTTGGTAATATTATTCACAAGAAGAGAAACATTAAAGCCAAAATTAAGGGAATTCAAAGTCAATTAAAGATGATTGACTCAACTTATCTCACTCCTCTCGAAAAGGTTACAATATGAGTATAAAAAAGTTCTTTTTTAGGAGGAACTCTATGGTACCAAAAGTTTAGAAAGAATTAGATAAACCTTGAGGACTATGACACCTCATTTTTTTCATGCCCAAACTATGATTGCAAGGAAAAGGAATAAAATTTATAGTCTCACTTTTTCTAATGGCATATGGTGTTTTGATGATTTTATTTTATAGGAAAAAGCTCATAAGTTCTTCGTAAATCTTTTTTGTAGTCAGTCTCATGCCACATATGCAATATTTCATTTAATTAATATCCCAACAATCTCATGTGATGACACTTTCAAAAGAAGAGGTCTCACTAGCTTTCCATGTTATGCACCCTTATAAGATTCCTAGGCCTGATGGGTTTCAAGCAATCTTCTACAAATAATATTGGCATGACGTGGATAGGGATATAAATAAACTAGTTAGTGATACTTTTAAAAAAGACACTTTTGATAGCAAGTTTTTAGAGACTCTTATCTCTCTCATCCCAAGAGTAGATCATCCTAGCAATTTCAAGGTATTCCTACCTATTAGCCTTTGCAATGTTCTTTACAAAATTGTTAAAAATGTGCTTGTTAATAGGTTTAGACCTATTCTTAATGACTTCATTAGGCCTCTCAAAAGTAGTTTTCTCTCAGGCTGTGGTACTACGGATAATGCAATTATTTTACAAGAAATCATTATATGATGCACAAATCAAAGAATAGAAAGGAGAATATTGCCTTTAAATTAGACCAAGAAAAGACTTATGATTACATTGATTGGGGATTCTTAAGGTGTACCTTTTTAAACTTTGGGTTTCCATAAGCAGTTTATGGAATGAGAATAAGCTTCATTCATTTCTCCAAATCATAGCCTCTGCCAAGGTGATCCAATTTCTTCATATCTTTTCCTTTTATGTATGGAGATGTTGGCTTTTCCTATAGAAAATTATGTGAGGAATAATTAGCGGCAACCAATTAAGGTTAGCAAAAATGACCCATCTATATCCCATTTGCTTTTTGTTGATGATGTGCTTTTATTTGTCAAAACCAAAAGCTCTCAAATCAAAATCATAAAGAAAATTCTCGATTGGTTACTGTTGTGTTTGGTCTAAAGGTTAACTTAATAAAATCTTAGGCTTATGTTTTAGTTGGTATCAATGGTCAGAAACAAGCCAAGTTTATCTCTATCTCAGGTATTCATTTTACTTCCTCTCTTAATAAGTATCTTGGCTTTCTAATTATCTCAAGTAAAGTAAACAAAAAAAAGAAAGACACTTTGACTTCATTGTGGAGAAAATTCAACATAGACTTGCTAATTGAAAGTCTATTTTCCTTAGTAAAGTGGGGTGTTTAACACTAGCTAAGTCCGTAGCGATCCTAACATGTTATCTACAACTATATTGGTTGCCTTAATCTATTTGTCACTCAATTGATAAGTTTGTGTGATTTCTTTTTTAAAAATAATGATGAAAAGATAATTAACCTAATCAACTAAGACACAATTACTCGTAGAACTCAAGATGGTGGACTTGGTCTGAGAATAAATAAGGAAGCTAATGTGGCTTTATTGGGTAAAATAGTTTGAGATATGATGAACAAAAAAGACAGACACTAGGTCCAATTGTTTGTAGAAAAATATGTGAAGAAAGATATTTTGTTAGATCATAATTAAGATGAAGGGTCTCACTCTTGGCAAGCAATAAAAAAGGCTAAAAATATTATAAGGGATATGTTCACTTTTTGACTTGGTAATGAGCAAATTTCCTTGTTGTATCATGACTCGTCAGGATTAGGCAAATTATGTTATCACACTCTCTATGTCAACATTCAAGATATAAAGCTACATGTTAAGGATGTTAAGATCCAATAGGGTGAAAATTTTTCTCCAATTGTCACTTTGATACCAATATCAATTACTTCAACCATTCATCAATCTAACTCGTCAATTAATATTCATGTTGAGGACAAGTTTAATTGGTCAAGCAGTTTGTAGGGAAGTTATACAACTATATATGGTTTTCAACTGGCTCATTCGTAATAGAACTTTGTTCTAGTACATTAGTTGGAGGTGGATTTTGTGTCTTCCTTGTGCAAAAAAGATTAAATTCTTAGTTTAAACTATTTGTTATGATACCCTTCCCACAAATTACGTAAGGCGTTATAAGAACTTGACTTTTTCACCAATTTGCTCAAGATATCACACTTACAATGAGGACATTCTCCATTGTGTCAAAGACTGTCTGACAGCTAAGAAAATCTGGGATCATACAAGTCTATAAAAAGAAGAATTTGTAACTTTCTTTGATGTCAACAACTGGACTATGACTCAACATAAAAGTAATTCTCCCTTATTTTTAGCTACACTATGGTGGATATGAAGGGTAGGAATGTTAATTGCATTGTTAGAAAAAAAAATCTCAATTAATAAAATTATGTTTGATATTATGAACCTTACTGATTAGCTTCATTTATGTGAATAAGTGCAACAATTTCAGGCCCGCTTGGAGTGCTAGGTTCATTAGGAGATTGATCAAAATTTTAAATTTATCCTTAATGCTGATGGAAGTTCTTAGAGAGCCTAGAAAGAGCTAGTTTCAATGCTCTTGTTAGGAATAAATAGAAATTGACTTAGAAAAGCTTCTAGGTTTTGGCATTTCTAACAATACCCATGTTGAACTTATAGCTTGAGTTGAAAATGGTTTGAATTCTAAATATCAAACATATCTTATGTTACTCTGACACGATGTAAGTCATAAATCTTGTCATAAAATTGTTTTACATTTTCACAAGTAAGTTAATCTCATTTGAGATATAAATAAGTGACTAATAAAAGACTTAACCAAATCACCATTAAGCACACCTTACATAAAAGTTACACATGCAAAAAAAAATTTAACTAAACTGAAAATTTTTTTATATTATAATTTTAAATATTAGATCTTACTTTCTACAAACTTAAAATTACTTCTTTAATCTTATTGCATATTCGAGATAATAATTTTTTCCCCTTTCCTATGCTACATATACTAGATATACTAGGAGTGAACATTCAAGAATCAAACCATCAAGACCGAAGTTACAATTGAATTCAAACCAGATAAAGATGGATTCAATTATATTATTATTAGATTTTTTTATATTATACAAGTATTATTAAATATTTTGTAAAAAAAAAACTTCAAAATATACTTAATAATTATTTTGAAATTTTATAAATTTTGAAAAATATAAATATTGTAATTATTCAGAATACATATTTTATCACATTAAATAAACTTATAAAAAAATTAAAATTAAAATCAATATTAAATTAAAAATACACAAAATTAAAAAAGTACTTAACATCATGAGAAAATAATAAATCTTTAAAATTCTCTTGAGAATACTTCTAAAAATATTCTAGTTAAAAAATCAGTACTCACAAAACTATACATTGAGATTTTATTATTATTAAGTACGACAAATAGTCTGTAGCTAAAATCGTAATGCAGAATGTGATCTTTTGTACATTCAAAATTGTGTAAAGTCCGTTTATTCGTTAAGCAAACTAGTCCAAAGTATGTTGTTATAAATGGTTGCATTTTTGTATTGAAATTAATGAAATAATACTTCTCTTTTAAGACTTGATGATCCAACCAGCAATAAATGGCTATATCTATCTATATAGTACTATAATATTTATCTGTCTATCTATATATGTTGAAAAATTAATGCTGATTTTTATATTTATTATGTACTAAAGCTTTTATATTCCCTAGTTAATAAAAATATATTTTTTATTTTTATTTATAGACAAATAAAAACATATTAATATAAAAAAATTAAAATAAATATAAAAAACATAAACATAATATCAACTTTTAATATTAAAATTAAATATTATAAATTATAATATCATTTATGTAAAGTACAAAAAAATATAATGATAAAAAAGATTGAAATATAAGTTTAGGATAGAAAAATAAAATAATGATAAAATGGTGTTATTTAAAATAATACTCTATTGAGCTAACAGTTAAGTTATGTAATGTTATCTTGATCATTATACGCATTGAATTTTAAAAGAAAAAGTATTTGAGTTGTTAGGTTAAAAGGCCTAACAATAATCAATAAATGATTGTTCCACTAACATTTCATTTAAATGCTTATTTTAAATGATAACGATAGTATCAATACCAATTTTTGAAAGAAATACTTTTTAAGATGTTTTTTCAAACGAAAATTCTTTTAAAAGCTAATTTTGTTTGTAATGTTAAGTGAACTTTTTTTAAATTAAATATTTTTAATTCAATATCAATTTAAATTATGAATTTTTACAATTTAGTATTTATTTAATTTTATTTATTTATAATTAATAATGAACAACTAAAATATTTATTTTTAAAAATTTATGAAATTATTATATATAATTTTTTAGTAATAATTCTTGAATAAAGTTTTTTTTAAAATTTTATAATACAATAGCTCTTTGAAAAATTACTTTTTTTTTTCATTCTAAATATTTTTTTATATGCTAAGCATGTATATGTACAATATTGTATATAATCATATTATAAATTAACATAAGATGTTAAATTAAAATCTAAGTCAGTATATAATATAATCATATTATATGTTTTGTACAATAAAAAATTATTAGTAAAAGGACGATTGATAAAAATTCATGAATATAGGTGTTAGAAACTTTTTCTTGATCTCATATTTAGTTAAAAGTATATTTTAATTTAAAAAAAAGTAAGAAAATAAAATAAAACTGATTTAAACTTGTTTTTATCACCGATTTTATTGATTTTCACCGATTTTAAGTGAGTTCAATATGTTTTTGGACAATTTTTATCAATTTTGAGTAATTATTTTTCTAGATTAAACACCTTGATTAAAAAAATACTCAGCATGTTTCAAATAAATTGTTTTTGGGCAAACGGCACAGAGTAAAGGCCTTTTTCTTCTGTGACGAACGCTTCAGGGGAATGGCAGTAACAATCCAAGATAATTGCAATAGATTCGGTTGAAGCAGATGATTATAATTTAAAATTGGAAAGTGTTCATTTCCTTGTCATTTGCTTTCTAGTTTGATTGCCATTCAAACCAACAAAGGAATGATGCTTTTATATATACATTACCTACTCGTTTGACAGTTTATATTGTTGTATTAAAAAAAATTAATATATGCAAAAATGACCAAACCTGACAAGTGTTATGAGTATAATAGAATGAGTACATATTCCTAGAGGACTGAAAATATTCTCCACTACCTTGGTAAAATTGTAGAGACTGTTACATCATTAATGGAAAGATTCTTGGAACTTTTTGAAGTAGATGCTTCCTTTGGGGTCATTCTTCCCACTGAAAATGCAGGGTGATTGGGTTTTGGAAGGGCCATTGTGTCACTTGCAAGCATTACAACAACAGTGGACATGGTTGGTCTATCTGCTGCATCTTGTTGAACACACAACAAACCAATGTGCATGCACTTCACAACTTCACTAGCTATGCAGGATTTTTCCAGCACTGAATCCATCAATTCCAAACAATTTCCTGCACACCATATGTTCCAAGCCTGCAAGTAATTGTGATTTGTTAATGTTGTTAAGCTCTAGTTAATACTGTTGAATAATGTTTTGATCAGACATTAGTGGAAAAACTCACATATAAAAGAAGACTTTGACCATGTTCTGATAGATAGAATCCACTATTTTTTTTTCCACTGATGATTTCTAGAACAAGAACTCCAAAACTGAAAACATCAGTTTTCACTGAAAATAATCCTTCCATTGCATACTCTGGAGCCATGTATCCACTAATAGAAATCAATAGAATTATGTTATTTCTCTTGCATTAAATAATATATAACAGAAAGTTTCATTCTACGGCTAATTAAGTACTTAAAACTACATTCACAAATCTCAGGAGTGTCTATTCCTACTCCAAAATATCTATTGTCACTTCTTATTTAAGATTTTTTTATTAAAATATTATTATCATTAATTTAATCAACTAATAGAAAAAAAAAAAATTTATAAAAGAGTTGTTTAAAGAGGAGCAACAACAGACATTTTGGAATGGCAATAGACTCACTACAAATCCTATTGCTTAAAGAAATATTTGGTGTAAGTAGAACTCACTAAGTGCCCATTATTCGTTTTGTGTTTGCTTGGTTCTGGTCCCTTTCAAATGCCCTTGCCAACCCAAAATCTGATATTTTGGGATTCATCTCGTGATCTAATAGAACATTGCTAGCTTTGAGATCTCTATGAATTACTTTGAGTCGAGAGTCCTCATGAAGGTATAAAATACCTCTTGCTATTCCATGGATAATGTTTAATCTTAGTTTCCAATCAAGTTGCTTTTTCTTTTCATAATCTGGAATCATACAGACAGAGAAGAGATCTCAACAAATAAAACAGCATCAAAAATAAAAAAAAATAAAAAAAGCTTAAGGAAACAAGCTAATATCAGATTGTAAATATTGACCATAGTATGAAAGGATGAAAAAACAGAAGAATTGTTTATTCAGTCACTTTTCTAGATGTAGCGTTTTTCCCTTAAAGATTTCATATGATTATATTGATTACTAAGATAACTTGAATTCAGTTTCACACTATGAATAGGTAAAGAAACGCACCATAACTTCTCAAGTATAATGATCATGAGCCATCATTGCTTCTATTCTTAAAAATAATAGATTAATTTAGAACCCACAAAATGTTAAAGAAAAAATTGCAGTAAAATGGCTATTCAGAGAAGCTATCTGAAAAGGAAGCATACCAAATAGATGAGAGTCGAGGCTTGCATTGGACAAATACTCATATACAAGTATCTTTTCATGTTCCTCCAAGCAGCATGCCAAAAGTCTTACAAGGTTGCGATGTTGTAATTTAGCTATGAACATTACTTCATTCTTGAACTCCTCTGAGCCCTGACCAGAAGCTTTTGATAGCCTTTTGACTGCAATTTGTCTTCCATCTGGTAGAGTTCCCTGGACAAAAGATTTCAATAAATGAAAGAACTTGGAAATTTGATATAATAATAAAGAACATATCTCCAAAATTTCATGAATATTATACCTTGTAAACAGGACCAAATCCACCTTCTCCTAATTTACATGCTTCTGAATAGTTATTAGTACTCTGTAGAATTGTGGTCAATGGGATTATTGGCAGGTCTGCATTAAGTGTTTCCTCAGTTTGAACATCGTGATATGAAGATAGAGGAATGGTATCAGGTATCAGCTCATCTACAAAGGAAATTTACTGAGTTCATATTTGAACAAAATGGCCAAATTTGAGTATGTGAAAATAAGCTATCATACAAATCGTAGCATGTGTTATTGTAGAAATTACCTTTTCTAACTTTTTTTCTGTACCAGAAGCAGTAGAAGCTGAAACATAGTAGAGCTACAAACCCCAGAACACTTAAGCCAATGATCAATTTTCTTGACGTGTTACTACCTTCTTCGGCTGTAACAGTACAAAAGATGAACAATTATTATTATTATTATTATTATTTTTATGAAATAATCATATTCATATTATGTAATTAAATAAACAGATATATGTACTCCCAAGGGAAATCCTACGCCACAAGAAAGTGATTACTACTACTATTATTATTATTATTATAAAAGAAAAGTAATTATGCCACATGTTTGCAGATTAGGCATAGAAACTATGCTTGATTGTGAGTGAACAAATTTTTAAAAAGTGATAAATTTACGTGGCTAGTATTTTGATTTTTTTTTTCTTTTTAAAAATGTCATTAGCATGTCTCTTTCTATAAATGTTTCTTTTAATACCATACAAATATTTTGACTTTCTAATTCCTTGTGCAAGACACCAACGTGTTTTTGGAGATTGTAAATTTAACAAGATTTAAGATTTTAGTATATCTAGCAAGTTCAATATATATAGAGTCAAATTTTTTAATAGTAAGCGTTAAATATAGACGTTTAAATTATTTAATAATTTTTTTAATGAAACATGAAATTGACCAAATTATTAGTTAGTTTTATTAAATAGATCAATTTTATATAAAAATAAAATTAATAAGTATTTCATTACATTAGTTTATTTTAACAGATATTATATTTTTAAAATATAAGTAAATATTAAATTTTAGATATTATATTTATAAATGTCTAAATTGTATAAAATTTAATATAAATAATTATGAAAATAATATAAAATTATTTAATAATTAAATTTGTCAATATTAAATTTTATAAAAATATTAAAAATAATAATATTGGTTTTTCATTTCTCTTTGTGATCTAAACAAGATAGTTTTTTTCTATTAAAACTTCTCTCCTCTCCTATCTTAAAATCTCTTCACTCTCAAAGAGTGCAGAACAGAATCACCTTACATGGCATTTAACATTGATAATTGATTTCAATACAATCGCTTTAGAAACAAGATGAATATTCTACAACACCACTTTACATATAAATGGGAAAGGAAGAAGATGATGTAGAAAATTCATAGAGAGAAAAATATGCAATGATGACAACGGGAAGAAGGAGGAAGCAAACAAGAAAAAACCCTATTTTGAAAGTATGATATTTTAGACTCAATTAAAAGCGTCAAGTATCACATAAGACAACTTCATTAAATTAGGAAACAATGAATAAAAAAATATTGACATAAAAATAACTTAAAAACCTTAAATTAAGTAAAAATTATTCGAGTAACAAAATAAAATTTGATTAAAAATTGGTAATTTTATCTTTCCTTTTTTAAGAAATTATTTTACAATGATAAAAATGTAGACTTTTTAAAAGAAAAATTCTACTGTAATATAAAAATCACAGCAGTAATATATTAGTTAATACGTATAAAATATTTATTAATTATCATTTTTGCATATTTTACTCTTACATATTATGCATAAATACTTATTATTTTTATAACCTCATACACTTCACATGCCTTTTGCAAACGAGTCTTTTTTACTATATTATTTTCTAACATGTAAGATCTAATTTAATATACAAACATTTAGTTCAGGGTCCGAATATTACTAAAAAATAATACGCTAGTGGGCTCTTTTATATATTTTTTTAAATTATAGAAATATAAGTTTTTTTTTGGGAAAATTACAGAAATATATTTTTTTTTTCAAAAATCATCCATAATAACTGTTATGAATGATAACTTTAAACTGTTTTTTTGTACTTTTTAAATTTCATTATTATTTTACAAGTTATTATTAGTGATTTTTAATTTTTTAACTTTTTTAATATTCTTTAAATACAGAAATTTGTAAGACTTTATCACCTTTTTTATTTTTATCTTTAAATTTTTTGTATTTATACCAAAAATCTTTATTGACAATTTTTAAATTTTAAATTTTTACAATCTTTTAAAAAGTAATATATTTTAGTATATATATATATAATAAACCTAAAAGGATCAGCCAGGACCTCATAAGACTAAAGCAAATTAAAATTGAGTCTTAATTTTCAAAACCTACTTATTAATTCCATGCAATAGCCTGTTTACACCAACCCATTAGACTTTCTTGACATTTAGTCAAATGCCCAATCAAGATATTTTCCCTTACACACTTGTTTTTCCTTCTTCATGAACACAAGCATAAGCGCTGACAGAAAGCAACAAATCTAGTGCAAACGGTTTATTCTTTTGCTGCATATAATTTTCTTTTCTATATAATAAAAATAATAATATTTAAATAAAATAAAAGGTGATGACAGAGATTCCTTAATACTAGAAACAAAGAAAGCAAAAAAACCAACAATTAAGAATAATGTTACCTTGATTTGGCAAAGGAGGAGGGGATCCTGTATCATTAGTACCCTGGTAGAACTCATATTCATCAAACTTCATCCCACAACTAGGACCAACGACACCCCAACCCACCTTTGTCCCGCAACATTGTGGATAAATGTCTAAGCAGAACTGCAAACACTCTCTGCAATAAGCACTTGTGAGGTCTCTGGAACACTGCACCATACCATACCTTTTCTCATTGTCACCACCCCAATCAAACTCACCCGCTGTCCAAGTCTGGTTGGTCTCTATAGTTTTTGTAATCAAGCTCTCCATGGCATCCTTGGCTCTTGTAGTTTCTGTTGGGTCCTTAATGTCTTTGCTCCCAGTAGTGTTCCACGTTGGGGTTAAAGTAAGTTTACCAAAGAAACTTTGGTTAGAAAAACGGATGATGCATAAGTCATACCATATAATAGCGGTTACAGTGTTGTTGGCACACCGCTGATTAATTTCTTTAGCAGCAGAGTTGAGACAGAATTGACAGAAATACCCGACGATGTCACTCCTACAGCTGTAGAACCCATAAACAGTATCATCACTAGAACTGTTGTTGCTGCCTATGACTGTTTGGTTATATCCCTTGCTTATGCCTGAATCAGAAGCCACCCATGAGAGGGCTTTTCTAACATTGTCTTGGTATGAAGTGTTATTGGTGGTGTTGTAGCAAAAACTGTACTCATAAATTGGGGATTGTGCACTTGCTGTGGAGAAAAGGAGCAAGAAGCCAAGGATGCTGAGAGGGGTCATGGTGATAATGGGTATAAGGGACTTTAGCTATGTTTTAATTATCAGAGTTGCATTTTGAGGTTCAATCATAGAATTGGTGAAGTCGACTACAGTGACGATATTGGGATTTATAAGTCAATTGTAGATGAGATGAGTTGATTATTTTATCGAAGGACTTGTCTATAAGTTTGAATTGGCGGCACATGTTTGAACCAGCGAAGCAATGGGGTTTGACTATTCTGCGGAACATTCTTGTTCTCCCATTTTTCTCATTCCAGTGTTAGGATTCGACACTCTTTGATTTTTGCTGCCCAAAATTATGTATTGGATGCTACAAAACACAATTTCATGTTTTATTCTTTTTTTAAAAATGATACTTGATGAGAGAAATATTAGAAATATTCTATTTAACAATAATATGGCTTATTCTTTTAAAAAAAATGCTATTTTCTGATTTGATTTTTTTTTATCTAGTTTTTCTTACATTATTTTTTATTTTTATTTAATCTCTTTATTCTTAATTTAGTAATTTTTTCATTATTTATTTATATAACATATGAATTTATTCATATAATTTAATTAAAACATGTCATGAAAAAGATATATTGTTAATAACATCATATCTTTTATATTTTTAAATAAAATTTTAGGTTATAAAATTAAGACTTTTAAAATTGAAATTTGAAATAAAAAATTAAAATAAATGAAAGTACAAATGTTTGTTATTTACATCAATTTTATATTATATAAAATGAGTTAAGTTGATTGTTATATAGGTAGATATTATTTTATGTAAGACTTAGTAAAGCGTGTGGATACCACACATTTTATTATTTTGGATCTAACTCAGGAAGTGCATTTTAAAATATAAATTTCATTTATATATAGTCATTGATTAAAAATCTAATGATTGAGATTGTGATAAAAACTAAATACAAGTAGACCAACTTCTATATATAGTCTGAGTATTAATTTTTGAATAAAAGTGTTTTTATAAATATTTTTAAATATACATATTTTTAACAGTATTTTCAAATAAAAATATTTTTAGAAGTAATTTTTTTATCATGCTAAATAGGTTTTTCCCCCTACATTATGTATTTGTTTTTAATTTAATAATATCTCAATTTTTAATTTTTCATAATTTCATTTTTATTTATTTAATATGATAAAATATTTATTGTTGATAATTATAATATTTATTTATAATTACAATCATTTTTAATCAAAGGTTATTAGTTCACTTTATCCTCTAAAGTACATCTCCTTGGTTTTAAAAGAGGGAAATCCTATTATTTTGGTGGGACCTGTATAAATTCACTCACTAATAAAAAAAATAGGTTCCAAGCATTCTTCATTTGATAAATTAAGGAATAACTGTTGTTGTCTTATTTTTCTCTGTTATATCATCAAACTCACATTTAACTTTGTTTTCTTCTCTTTTTCCTTGTTATTCTCCTTGATGTAAGCATTGTTGTTCGAAATATTTAGAAAAACAACATTGCTAAGAAAAATAATTTTGCTAACATTTAAAAATTGATTTAAAACAAATAATAATGCAGAATTAAAATATAGACAGTAAAATTTTAAAAAACTGTTAGAGGTTCTAAAATTAAAATTTTGTGGAAGTTTATGGAAAAATATTTTTAAATCTAAATATATATTAGAAAATTTATTTATTAAAATTTTAGTATTTTAGACACATGTACATGTTTATTTTGATATTAATATTAATCATGTTTGATGTGTCTATACTAATTATTTGTAAAAGGCTTAAAACAAAAGCGTTGATTAAATGATGTATAAACTTTGACAAGAGTAGGTTGGGGCTTGATCGGTCAACTTCAATGGCTTTCGAGTTTGACTTTTCCACCTCAAAGACAACCCATTGTTTGAAAAATTTTGGGTTTGTTGTGTCTTATTAGACTTCGGCCAAGTCGGGTGATAAGGATATATATTTATTTCTATTCTTTTTTTTTTTAATTTAAGTAGAAAAATACATGTGAAATATATTTTGGAAGGAAAAGAATAAATTTAACAAATAAAAAATATTTTCAGAATACAGGTAGTTAAGATTGAGAACCAAGAAAATATATTTTAATTAATTAAAAAGTTCAACGCAATGAAATTTGATATTTGAAATTTTAACATATAAAGAAATTTGAGTACAGTTTATAATTTTGAGAAATTTTCAAAATATAGAAATAGGCTTAAAATAATGGTGAAGTTCCATTAACATAAAGAGAAAGAAACTATTCCAGAAAATATTCTCACTTTAAAAAATGAAAGCTCAAATTTATATAATAAAGAGATTGATGATTCTTCCTCAATAGTTATTAGTTGATTTTATATTTGTAACCTTACCACATTGAAGCTATCCTTGAAATTTTAAATGACAATAACACAAATGAGAAAATCAAATACTTAAAAAAAAATTGTATATAGATTTTGTTTAACTATTGTTTATTATGTAAAGTCTAAATTTATGATTAAGCGTTAAATTATTTTTAATATAAATATGTTATGTGTTTGAAGGAACTATATATTCTTCTTGAGATAGATAGGTAAGATGACATAAAAGATAACATGAAAATTCTAAAATTAAAAAAAAAAATTATGAATTTTATTAATCTGAACTCTTAGGACTAAGTTTAAGTATTTACAAACAGAAAATTTTAATAAAAAAAGTATACTCTTATTGTATTGAAGTTATAAAAATATAATAAATAATTCTCTTTTTAATAAATTTTTACTATTATTAGCTATTTATCTTCAACTCTAAAAATTGATATTAACAAAATTTAAAAATTATTACTAGATAAAGATAACAACGAAATATTAGAATATAAAAATTTCTATGATTCATAGAATTTCTCACAACTATTCTACAAATTCAATACATCCACATTTTTAAAATAAATATCCAAACTCTTCACAATACTCTAAAATAAAAATAAAGTTGCGCACATACTGTAAGATAAACGGTGTAACGCTCACTCTTACGCTGTTACTAATTTAATATTAAAATTGATGTATTTTTTAAATAATTTATGTCAAATTTTGATAAAATTAAACATCTATGATATTATTATCAAAAGATTAGACTTGGTTTTTATAAATTTCATAAATATATATTACATTAATTTTTATGTGTATGAATAAAATATCAAATAATTTTAAATCAATTTTAAATTTTGCATATATAATCTATGTAATTGAAACTTTAAATCTAACATATGTTTTAGGATTAAATTATTTTCTATGTTAAATCATTAAACAATACAAGAGTAAGTGTAACTTATATGATTAAGACTTTTAATCAATTTTATAATTAAAGTATCTAACAAAAATTATTAAACTGTGTAATATATATATATATATATATATATATATATATATATATATGTGTGTATATTTTGATAATTGTAATATTTTTATTATATTTATTTTAAAAATAATTATAATTATAATTATTATAATCCTATATGTAACATATATCTAATTTTAATTTTAAAGATTGTATTTTAAATAAATAACCTTAATTTTCTTCAAAAAATGTATCATCTTTATAATTAAAGATGTATTTTCAATCTTAAGACATCTTCATGCAGATAAAATTATATTTTATTATTATTTTACTTTATTTTTTAATATAAAGATATTTATCAAATATTAAAATAATAAATAAATTTATTAAAAAAAGTCATAAACATGCTAATAAATCAAGTTTAAACTTAAAAAAATAAAATTAAATACTTCCTTTTACAGACTCAATTATTTAGGTGAGCTTGACTTGCTCTACTTGCATGTACTACAGCACAATACAAGAATAATTTAGCTAGACAGTTGGATTCAATAACAACTGTAACTTCATGACATTAATTAGATATGCTAATTGTGTCCTATAAATAAATGAGTTTCACACTTGTATCTATCTATATCTTATTCAATATAATGGCCACTTTTCGTTCTCTGCTATTTACCTCATTCTCTAATTTTCTCTCCCTGACTCAACCTTTCATCGTGTGCTTGTGTTACAAGAATATAATTTGTTTAGAAATGCTCTGTGAAAGGACATCTCTGAAATACGAGAGCAAGGACCCATTGCAAAATTTTTCATATTATGCAAATTTTGTAAAACGTATAAAAGGCTAAAACATAAATGATAAATTATATTGGTTTATTAAATTTCATGAAGAAAATCATATTGTCACGAACTACACTTAGAAGAAGGGATGGAAAATTCTTCTTTTATATATAATTACATGAAGAGTGGACTTGTGAAGATGTTTGTGTTGACTTCAACAAATTTTGAATAACTAGTCTTTCATTTATCTATAATATCACGGGTAAAGAAGAAAAGTTTGTTGCCTGACCATCACAAGATAATTCACTTAGATATATAATCAGAGTTTTTTTAACAAATATTAAAATTTTATTAAAAATTATAGTATTTAATGATATTAATAAATTAAATTATTTACGTATGTGTGTCAGAAGATATGTTAGAAAAATCAATGTAGTATATATTTGAGTTAATGTCTGAGAACTTTAGCAAGTCCATAGCCATGGAGGGAACAACACAACTGAAAGTTAGATCTATATATTCCTTTGCTTTGTTACTATTATTGAGTTTGAAACTACTTGTTACAAAGGCACAATCACTAAACTACGTGGGAGATGATTGCCACAACACCACCGAAGAAGCTCTCAGCAGTGCATACCAAAGCAACCTTAACAACATTCTCGTATGGCTATCCTCTGATGCAGCCACAAGCAAAGGTTATAACCACAACAGCATAGGGAACAACACCAGTGGTGGTGATGATGCTGTGTATGGCCTCTATGATTGCCGTGGTGATGTGGTTGGATACTTTTGTCAATTCTGTGTCTCTACTGCCAGAAGAGAAGTTCTTCAGCGCTGCCCCAATAGAGTATCTGCTATCATATGGTATGATTTCTGCATTCTAAGGTATTCTAATGAAAACTTTTTTGGGAATGTTACAACATACCCATCATGGCATGAAGTTGGATCAAGAAACACTTCTAGTGCAGTAGAGATTCAGAAAGGTGAGGATTTTATGAGAAGTTTGATAAGAAAAGCTACTAAGGAGACCAACCAATTGTTCTATATGGATGGCTTCAATTTGAGTTCCACTGAGCGAAGGTATGGCTTGGTGCAATGTAGTAGAGATCTCACAAATGAGGGGTGCAGGCAGTGTTTAGAGGCCATGTTAGCACAAGTTCCCAAATGTTGTGAACAAAAGGTGGGGTGGCAGGTTTTGGCTGCAAGTTGTCTCATAAAGTATGATGATTATATTTTTTACCTTTTTCACAATCAATCTTCACTTCCTGTGCCTAATAAGCAAACAGGTGAGTGGTGACAAAAATTACTCTGTGCCCTCTTGAAATAATAATAATCATAATAACTTTCTTCTGGCATAGAAATATAATAATTCCCTTAGAGTTCATATTTATCTATGTTCATCGAATCTGTATATAATTAAATTGTAAAATAAAATTTCAAAAAAAATAAGTATTTCTCTTTAATGTTGTTACAGCCAAACAAGGGCGTATCAATAAGTCAAGAATCTTAATCATTTGCTTAAGTGTGCTGGGGTCAGTAGCTCTACTTTGTTTCAGTGTATTCTGCTTCTGGTGCAGGAATAGAGCTAGAAAAGGTAATTCCTTGCAACTACACAGGCTAGAGTATGTTTGATAGCTTATTTCACATTCTTAAATATGTTCATTTAGTTCAAATATGAACTCAGAAGCTTCTTCTCTTTGTAGATGTGCAGATCCCTCTTCCCATTCCTCTGTCTTCATATCACAATGTTCAAACTGAGGAAACACTGAATCCAGAGCTGCCAACAATCCCATTAATCACAATTCTACAAAGTACTGATAACTTTTCAGAAGCATCAAAGTTAGGGGAAGGTGGATTTGGCCCCGTTTACAAGGTTTAAAGATTTGGAATTATGCATATCGGTTCATTATTACCATCATCTTTCTAAGTGCTTTTATTTATTGCAATCTTTTATTCAGGGAATTCTACCAGATGGAAGACAAATTGCTGTCAAAAGGCTCTCAAAAGCTTCTGGTCAAGGCTCGGAGGAGTTCAAAAATGAAGTAATGTTTATAGCTAAATTGCAACATCGAAACCTTGTAAGACTTTTGGCATGCTGCTTGGAGGAAAATGAAAAGATTCTTGTATATGAGTATATGCCGAATGCAAGTCTCAATTTTCACCTGTTTGGTATGTTTATTTTTTAGATAGCTTCATTGAAGAACAGTGCTCGTGTTAGCTTTTTGGGTTTTGATACAGTTTTTTTTTAACATTTTGAGTTCTAAATTAGTCTTGCATTGGAGACAAGTCAAATGGAGCTGCTGTTACTTGTCATAGAGACAAGTAGTTGGGAGTATGGTTGAAATTTATTGCTTATATTTTGTTAGGTGGAAACCCCAGTTTTGTCGTATGAATATGTGGACATTCATCTCTCTTATTTTAAAGAGTAAGAGCAACAGTTCATGTGCATAATGCCCATGAAAGTTAATTATGGCACGTGTTTCGTTCCTGTCCATAAGGTGAAACTAAATTAAAGTTATCCTATGTAATAAATAATCATTTTATAAGATACCCTTAAGGGAAAAAGGAATAGTTCTAATAATGTTTTACTTGCAAAGACCAAAATTTACTATTTGGTATTTGCTAATTTCCTTTAGTTTACTTGACATAATGTTTTTCTGTTAAGATTTCTTTTGCCTTTATGTTGTCAGATGATGAAAAGAAAAAGCAACTAGATTGGAATCTAAGGTTAAGCATTATCAATGGAATAGCAAGAGGTATTTTATACCTTCATGAGGACTCCCGACTCAAAGTTATCCATAGAGATCTCAAAGCTAGCAACATTCTACTAGATGATGAGATGAATCCGAAAATATCAGATTTTGGATTGGCAAGGGCATTCGAAAAAGGCCAGAACCAAGCAAATACAAAACGAATAATGGGCACTTAGTGAGTTCAACATACCACACATCTCTTTAAACAATAGGATTCAGATGTAGTTTTAAGCACGTAGTTGAAAAATGAAATTCCTTGTTATATATACTTTGATGTCTGAAAAATAATAAAATCTCTATTGATTTTCATCAGTGGGTACATGGCTCCAGAGTATGCTATGGAAGGATTATTTTCAGTGAAATCTGATGTTTTCAGCTTTGGAGTTCTTGTTCTAGAAATCATTTGTGGTAAAAAGAATAGTGGATTTTATCTGTCAGAATGCGGTCAAAGTCTTCTTTTATATGTAAGCTTTCACCTTTGCCTGATCAACAAAGTATTCAAAAGTGTTAATTAGAGCTAATTAACATTAGCAAATCAAAATTACTTATAGGCTTGGAGAACATGGTGTGAAGGAAATTGTTTGGAATTGTTGGATCCAGTTCTGAAAAACTCTGGCATAGACAGTGAAGTTGTGAAGTGCATACACATTGGTCTGTTGTGTGTTCAAGAAGATGCAGCAGATAGACCAACCATGTCCACTGTTATTGTAATGCTTGCAAGTGAGACAATGTCCCTTCCAAAACCCAACCGGCCAGCATTTTCTGTTGGAAGAATGACCTTCGAGGAAGCATCTACTTCAAAAAGTTCCAAGAATCTTTCCATTAATGATGTAACAGTCTCTAACATTTTACCAAGGTAGTGGAAACTTGGACACAAACCACAGTATTTTGGCAAAATTAGTGTTTTCTCAAATATCGCAGTTGGCGACTTTTGATAAAAAAATTTAAGTACTTTTTAAATATTTAATTATTATTTTAAAAATTGTTATCAGTAACTTTTAATATTTTTGAAAAAAATTTAATTTCATATTTTTATTATATTTGTAAAAAACAAATACTATATTTCAGTATATATATATTTTTAAATATCTTATATAAAATAATAATCTCCAAATGAGCCTTCACCACTTCTTCATGTATTTAAAAGTTTATTTGTTCTCATTAAGTGCATTAAAAGTCAACCAATGCGATAATACGGAAATATCCTACAAAGTTATTGCACTTTTAGTTACTTTTTTTTTTTTTTTTTACAATATGTTAGACTCTTGCACTAAAAATTATATATAAATAATCTTTGTCATTAAAAAAAATGATATGTCTAGTTTACAATAATAATTCATCTTGATATATTTCAACATCAACTTGTAATTAAGATGTTAGATAAAGAATAAAAATATATAAATTATTTATAATGACATAATAAACCTTAATTTTTATTAATACTCTAATTTCTATATTGCAATGTTAAAACTTTTATTTGGTCGCCAAGCATCTATACATACAATGTTAAAACTTTCCTATAAATAACAAATTTAGCATACTATTACATCACCACACTGTTAAGTTGCTGATCAATATCCTAACCAACCAAACACGAAGGTTCTACCACAATTTAGATTAAAAATTACAAGTATCACATGACTCAATTTTAGATACAAGTATTTTAATTCTTATTTAAAAATGTATTGAAATATTCATATTAGTTAAGAAGTAAGCACAATGCATGTTGAATTAATGTAGAATGACTAGAGTTTGTGAACGACACACTTGGGCTAAGAAAATGTTGTGACATTTCTTTATAGAAAGGTTGTCAAAGATGTTTAGTATACAGGTATTTTGGAAGACATAGACATATATTTTATTAGTATTCTATTTTAAAATAACAGAATTTCTTTTGTGAAAAAAAGGAGAAAAAAACAAAAATGTTAGTTTAATCAAGTGATGATGGAGGGGAAAAAATCCATAAATCTAAGGTCTTTTCCCATGTTAAAAGTTTTGTAGCAAATAATGTTATAGTAATTAATTAAAATCAGTTATCTTATTTATAATTTCATGGAGAAATGATTGTTTGATGTTGTATAAATAAATGAGAAGTGTTTTAGAAAAGTTAATGAACATAAATTTAATCACAATCAATTATATGACATGCTACCAAATTTACTATCTCACACTCATATTGAATTATCAATTTCTTAAAATAAAATTTATAATGAACCAATTAAAATTATTATTTTTATAATGATTAAGACACTCGCACAACATGAGATTAAATTTGGTTCTTAATAAAGTGTTATATGATGGACAATAATTTATTTTTTCTCACCTTATGTTATAACATTTTTAATTGGCATAATTAAAGGAACGTGACTTGCTACAAAATAATGGATTCAAATAACAAATCACACATTTAAGAACTAATGTTAATATTTTCTTTTTATAAAGACTAAAAAAAACTCCTTCTTTTAAGAATTAATTTGAACTTTTAATTCCAGTTTATTGAAGGTGTTAACATAAGAATCAATTCAAGTCCTCGCTAAGATTTGTGACATTTTTTTAACTACAAATATTTAGCAACCTCATTTCCTAAACCTCAATTTATCAATAATAAAACATTATAAAGAAAAAAAAAATAAGTAGGCCTAAAATTCCTTCTCACATATTATTTGACAATTTTTGCATGTTAATTGTTGTTAGTAGCGTCACTACTTCAGTCTTCATTTATATTTGTAACCTAAAGAATCATCAAAGATGCCTTAGCGGCACTATCTTTAAGGGGTCGTTTAGAAATGAGAGCTATGAAAAGGAAGGAAAAGGAAAATATAAATTTATATTTTAAATAAATATATTTAAAATTAATATTTTTTAAAAATAAAATATATAAATTAATATGTTCTTCCCTCCCCTTTTCTCTAAAAACATCCTCCCAAACATACTCTAAGAAAAATCAAGGCAAATCACATGTTCAAATGCGTTTGTGCCCGTGAAAGAGCTTCATATAACGCACAAGCAAGTAATGGAAATTTATTTGAGCATACGAAAACAACTTATGTTTTTAATAAGATTTGTATCTTATTTTATTAAACATGGTAAAATTTATCAAAATAAACTATTTTTAGTTTATTTTAACAATTATCAAATCAAATTTATGGCATAAGCTCTCCTATGACAAAAGTTCATTGATTAAGTACTTAATTAAACTGTTTACCGAAACGCACTCTTGGAGAAAATCAGACCACACAAATTAGAAGATGAATTTCACTGTAAAACCATAAACAATCATTAAGACAACCATTCCAATTTTGAAGTACTACAGAGAATAAGCCAAATTCCCTTTAGTCCCAAGACATAGATCTACAGAGGAGGAGAGGTAACAAACTGCCTAGGAACACTGAATATGTCCTTCCCAGTAAAAGGAGTGGTCCACTCTCTCAGTCCTCCAGATGAAGAACTTTCTCTAGCCATGCCAACACTTTGCAATCCATTCATGCATGAACTGACCCTCCTATTCCCATAACTGTTTCTCAACAATGATGAGATACCAAGCCAAAGTCCACCTGATACTGATGATGAAGGTGGATTCAAACTCCAATCTATACTGGTGTAGTCAAACTCCGGCATCAAGCCCCCAGTGTTCCAATCCACGACGTGTGAATCTGAGCTGAATGTTCTGGCCACATTCTGGTGACCAGAAAATAGTCCAAGGGATGGTGGAACTGTAAGTGTGGGTGAAGAAGCACTCATGCTCCACGAACCGCAATGCTGAGAAGGAATTGGAGGTGAAGGTGATGATGATGATGCACCCATTGGCTTACAGAAACCACCAATCCCAGCTGATGAGGAGTCTATTGGTCCAAAGAAATGAGAATATTCTCTATAAGGAGCTTGACAAAATTGTTCCAGTTGGTTTGGACTCATGCTTCCTATGGTTTGAGTTTGTAGTAACTTGCCATTTGATCTCATATTTTCAACAGGTGGAATACTTTTTACATACCAACCTGATGTCCCAGAAGGAAAGGAATTTATAGAAGGTAGAGAGTTTTGTTTGACATTTGTGAAGTGTGGATGTTGCATCATTGCTGGCTCCCTTCCTAGTCCTTGCTGAATCATTCTTCCTTCATTTGTAAGGAAGCTATGCCGGCCCTCCATTTTAGCAAGTGGAGACAGTGGTTGCATGGATGGTGCCATAGGTAACATGACAGGAGGGCTTGATCCTGGAACACCCCATCTTTTCTCAACCACTACATTTGGATTATTTGAGTGTAGAGAGTTTTCATTTCTGCTTTCAAGATCTGAGAACATAGAATCAGCACTGCCTAACTTGTAATAGTTGAAGTCATTTCCATTCCCTCTCTGCTGTATTGAAACCGATGCTGCTGATAATCCTTGTGATCTCATCAAACTATTATTTTGGGTAGGATCTTCTAACTCTGATTGAGTCACAGGAGATTCCTGCTTCTGAGATTTGAAGGTACTTTCTGCCTTCTGAAGATCACCTTCACAAGCAACAACTATTCTTTCAACCTCTTGCTTTGAACAACTGTACTTGGCCTCCAAGGCAGATATCAGATGAAGCTCATCACTAATGTCAATTTTCAAATTACCCTCACTTGCAAGATTGGTATTACCTTCGGTGTGTGATTCTTCTTCACTCAACAGCCAGGATACTGATTCCTCTAATTTGCCATCGTTTGACATTAAAGCCAACGTTGCTCGCTGAGAAGAAAATCCCATCGCCACTAACTGTTGTGCAAGTGCTTCTAGCTTTCTTGACATTAGATACCCACAGCAACGGTCATGCAACTCCTGAGCTCTCCTTTCCCTCTGCCTCTGGTGCTTCCTCTCATTCTTCAGGCGGATCTTCTCCCTTCGGTCGTTGTCACAACCAAGTATAACATCCAACCGCGTTGAAGAGTTTGTTACTTTCTCTTTAGACTCTTCTGATTCACCAGAGCAGCTTCCATTGTTAGAAAATGAATCACACTCAGACACCGTTCGTTGAGGACTACTAGAACGTTCGTCTGCATCATCTATTTTTGGGAAATGACTGTTGTCATGAACTCGAGTAGAAGAAGCAACCAATGATGTTTCTAGAGTTTGAAATGTTCCCAAGATAGGATTGTGTTCACTAGCAGGAATGCCACTCCCATGATTCTGACAAGTCTTCGGAGAAGTCTTCTGTTGCTCCTTAGCAGCCCTTGCAGAGGCCTTCTCCTGGGACTTAGATTTTGATTTCATTGATGGAGACATTCTATTGGTTGCTATGCTTATCCTGCATATATATAAACAAAAATAAATGAGAATCAGTCTTCATTGAAAATGTACCATAACAGTCAAACCTTACAATTATAACTGAATAATGTCAGGAAATTTTCCAAAAAATTCAACAGGAGAATGTAATAACCAGAATCAAAGCAACTAGTCAATTAACCTTGCATAGAATCAAAGAAAGCTCACTGATAAATGTCCTAGATAGCACTCTATTACAATGTTACCTTCGCATTCTGCAGCATCAATATAGTACATGTATCCAATTTGCTACAGTTCCTATCTCAAGCATGCATCCAAATATTTTACCACTATAAGTAATTCAAATCAATTATAGCCTTCATGTAATTCAAATCAATCAGTTGTGATGTCTAACATTGGTTGCACCAAGTTAACAGGCAAAAATTTCCCAGCTTAATTAGTTTAAATAGAATAGGAAAGGGATGAAATTGCATTGCATTTTGATTCCAAACTAGGCGCATATTTGGTTTAGCTTTTTTTGGAAAAATAATTGCTAATTTGCGCCAGCTTCCAAAGAGAGCTTTTGAAAATAAGTAATTATTTTTTCCAAAATTAATCAACCAAATATGCACTGAAATGAAATAATACCCTGTGCCTGGCCACCATGTACCGGCCTGAATGAACATCATATACCAGAACCTCTTCTGGAAAAACACCATTTTGAAAACGAAAGATCATTTTACTCTTGATAATTGATATATAATCAAATTAAACATGAATATAGATTTATTAAAAAAAAGCTGAAAAACCTTTGAGAACCAAAACCATGGGAATTGGACACCATGAGAAACATAAATTATACCGGATAACCAATAAAAACTAATCCATAGATAGACCACAACCAACAAGGAATCCACATAATTAAAATCAGAATCCATATCTATTCCTCAATTTTAAAAGAAGGAACCTCGCCAACAATAAATAAATAGGAAAATAAAAAACGTGATGTTAAGTGGATAATGGTAATCGACATCATGGTAACTGCATCCATTTCTATGACACCTTTTTCACCAGTTTGGATAAAATCATACAACATAAAATGAAGCCAAGCATTAATCAAATCCAATTAATTAGGAAAAAGCACAGAAATCTTGAATTCAAGCTTTTCAAACAACTTCAAACCTCTCCTGTTTCCACCCCACAAAAAACACAAACATCACTGCCTTAATTGGAAAACATTTCACAGAAGAAATGATTCCAAACCCACCAACCCATCACACAAAACGTCCAAAACCCGCACAGATTCAGATCATGAACTAAAATAAACAGAAAAATACAGAGGAAAAACAAAAACAAAATGATATGAAATAAAATCATATCAAAAATCAAATTCCCAGAAAACACAGAACAACCCACATCCATTGATAAATCAACAGAAGGAATGGATCAAAGAAACTGACCTATGAACCACACAACAGAGCCTCTGAAGATGATTGGCGTTTATGTGTTGGTTTATTTCTCCTTATTCTTTCTCCTCCTTTTTCTGTTTGTGATCTTGCTGTGTATTCTAATATAAAGTAGTTTCAACCTTTTTCTTCCAACATAGTTTCCATTTTTCTTTTGTCCACGTGGCACTTTCTCTGTGTCTCTGTCGCCAGGTTTGAGGAAAATAACATAATTAAGTACGATGTTTGGGATCCGAATATTTTTTTTTTCTTTTCCTTATAAAAAGAGAAATTAAAAAAAGAAAGTGTTTTCCCTGTCATTAAAAAAGACAGGAACAAACATGTTTTCTATAATGTTTTGGATCCGATGAACATGACTTACGTTAAACGTCATCAAATACTTTTATTTTTATTATGTTCCGCTTTTCGATGACAACATTACCTTAACTGTATCTTTCATGTAAGGTTTTCAACGATAAGTTAATAATTTTATGTTGAAATTCATTATTAAATTAAAAATCGTTGTAAAAAAAGAAGAGTTCAATTTATATACTGCTATAAATCCTATGATTTTTATACCCTTTAATAATTTTACATAAAATATCATTTTTATTAAATTAACTGTCAAATAATAATCATAAATTATCTTGCATGTATTTTAAACAATAATAAAAATATACGAAAGTGGATCCTTTATAAATTTCAAAATATACATTTATTCTAATAAATATCGATAAGTTTTTTCGTAATTTTAAATTAAAATTTGATAAATATAATTTATATAATAGAAAATTTTGTAAATAATGCGTTTTATGATGATTTTATTTTGTAAAAATTTAATGAGCAAGAATAATTTTGACTCCTGCCAGTAGAAATCGGTCCACAAAAACATATATGTATACATATGAGTATTTGGCTTTGTTCGATTTTATTTTTTAATCAAATTTAAAATAATGAAATTAATTCAATCAACTTAAATTTATGTAATGTCGTGTTTATGAACTTGGATCACCAAATGCAAAAGTTTGGTCCCTAATATAAAAAGTGATAAAAAAAAAAGAACAAAATACAATAAAATAATAATAATAATAATAATATTTACAAGTAATTTTTTGAAATATCTAGACACACAATTTTCTATTTATGAGTATTGTAAAAAAAAAAAAAACTTATGAATTTTTAAATAATGACATTTTACCTAAAAGTCTATAAGCTTTTTTTTTCCATTTGCTATCAAATCATTTACCTTATTGTTGAGATGCTTCGGACCCTCTACAAAAAAAACTCCCTTATTTGTTTGAAAAACGAAGTGTAGGAACCAAAGTATATGTTAAAAATATAGGTGTTGATGCATGACTAGAGGATGGTTGCATATGACTTGTTTGTCCATAGTTCTAGTATCACTAGAGCAAGTTCCATAATGGAATCTTTTAACATGTTTCTCCTTCACAACAGAGAAAGGAACTTCCCTAGAAAACCATGTAAAGCATTGCACTATTCTCTAAATTTGAGATGCCCTCTATTAACTATAGTTGCTCAAACTCAAGTTAAGAATTCATGCACACTCTTTGGAAGAAATTTTGCCATAAATGATTTAGTAAATTTATCACATGTCATTAGAGGTGATCTTGTTGCTCTCCCACAAAATATTGTATTGTACCAGTCATAAAAAATACCCTCTAAGTATTACCATTGATTCATGCTTACCATGACCATTGTTACGAGCCTATCCATGACCTCTAGAAGCAGGGTCCTGAGTTCGAGCAGAAGGCTCATCAAGGATGGTAGCCATTTTAGTCTTGAGTGGTATCTTCACCTTAAAAGGATAGTAATTGTTATTAAAGACCACACAAGCACTGCAAAGGAAATTCATGTAATATATAAGCAATGACACTTTTTTTCTTTTCTACAAACATAAGACATCAACAAACTCTTGTTAACACATTATGTATGGGTACAACTCTTGTTAACACATTATGTATGGGTACACAATTTACTAACAAAGTTCTATTACCACTATTTCTATAGCTATTAGGACCTACAACCTAGATTTGATACTAACTTTATCATCACTCGAAAATAGGCCCATGCCAAGCTCACAAGATAAATTACCTAGAAATGTTACTTAACTTGGCAAGTCTAATTATAAACCAACACATAAGACAATAAATTTTTTCAATCAAGTAATGTGACAAATTTGCCAAAATTTTGGTAGAGTTTTTTCTGTATATTCTTATCCTAAAATATAATAACATATTAAGATTGATTTATAACTCAATTAAAATCAATCAAACTCTAACATATTATTATATCAAAACTAGAACATCTACTATCTATCCAAAATAAGAGTCTAACCTATAAACATATGTAGAATGTCTAAAATATAACAAAGATAAAAAGAAAAGTATCAAGACCACTAAAATAATGGAGACCTACCGATAGTGATTCTGTTAGGATGGACTGATGTTCCTAATAACTTACAATTTTGCTAATTGATGATCTATGAATATTAAATAAATAGGGGATGAGTCACACAAATTTAATGAGGGCATAATAACCACAATGAACAAGAAAAAGAAACAAATATGAAATATTGCATGAGTGCTTTGTAATAAAAAAATTTACTTAAAACATACTATTTTAAAAGAAATTCATTGTAACTGCTCTTTCAAAAGTTTAGTCATGGTCAAAAGTTTACAAATTTATACCATTAAGCAAAAACATCATTTTAATCACAAGTGTTGTAATAAAGTATGTATAAATAAAAGTTAAATTATAAGAGCTTTTTTAAAACACCATAAAAGTAAATGTCAATATAATATTATGAGAAACACTTATGAGATAACCATAGTCCAAGGCATTTCCACCTCATTAATAGCCCTCTCCTTCTAAGGATGGCATATCCCATATAGGTAGCTACATATAACAAGTAGCCCTCTCCTGACATGCATTATGTTGTAATTAATCACGACGAGTGGCATCTCTACCTTGTTGATAACTCTCTCTGTGCATTGGCAGTTTCATCTAACAAGTAACCCTTTCCTTCCAGAAGTGCACCTAAACCGTTATTTCTACTAATGGTTATGAGGTTCTAACATAGCTCCTCCCAAAAATATTTATTCAAATATCAATTAATTCGCTTCACAAGACTATGGAAGAACCATGAAAAAAGTTTAAGCCTACAATTTTTAATACCAACAATATTTAACAAAGATTCAAAATTAACTTCAATAATAAAATCCTTATATCTATACTTAGAGCTCTAAAATACAAATTTTCTAAAAATGAAAACTTGCTAAGACCCAATATTCTTATGTATTCGAGCTATGAACATACTTTAGGAACTCAAACAGATTTTTTTTTCTCTAATAGGTAACATCCATTTTTCCTAAAAGTATTGTCTCTAAAATTCACCCAAAACTATCGATGCGAAAGAAAAAGAATTAGAAAGTTCTACATTTTTTTAACTTTGTTAGTGGTCCCTCTTTTTTCCTCTCTCTCTCTCTAACCTTATGGAAACAATGTGCTTCATCATGATATAGTCATATTTTAATATTGTGAATTATTTGTGAGTAAATTATTTTTATTGTTATTATGTCTTTGTTAAGTTTGTGTCTTACTTTTTTTATTTATTCTTTTTTAATCATTTTGACAATTAAGTTATAGGTACTAATAAATTTCTTTATTGATAGATTCTCATTGTTACAATACTTTTTATATATATTTTTTATTACACTTTAGATATTCCCTAACTTTTTAGGGAGTATATATTGGAATTATAATAGATATGAGGTGAATCATGTCTCTTGATGAAGATGGATTCTAACAAGTTCTTTTCATGGTAAAAATGTAGAGAAATTTTTGTCGAAATTTTAGTGAATACAAAGTATTATTGGTTTACAAAACTTGTTTATTTTAGGAGAGTTTAATTTTAGATAGACTTGTTAAACTAGATAACATTGTCAGATAACTTAGCCTATGCACTAGTTGTCAACAAACATGGCCCACAGAAAATTATAGAAACTAGAATGAAAAAAAAGTAAACTAAGTTGAGAGAAAAATAAAATTGTATTAATCTGAATAAGTGAAAAAGGTTCTATTACAAGAGGAGATAGGAGAGTTATATAGCCCATGGAACCAACTAATTATTAACAATCTTAACTGATCTCTAACAGCCACTCTCACGAGCTAAAATTGCTAGCACTTCAAGCTTGGGATGAACAACACAAATGCATAAGAAACATAAAATGCCATAAATGCATTGGCAAAAAAAAAAAGAAAACAAAGGCTAGCACCACTAAGCCTATAATATGATCAAAGCTAGAAAACTAGACAGAAATGAGCTTCAACATTTAACCATCTAGCAAAAGCAACAAAAATCAATGCTTGATCAACCAAAGAAGAAGCCTTTGTCAATGTTAGGAGGAAGCTAAACCATGCTTAACCACTATAAGGCAGAAGTTAAAACCAAATGCTTAACCATCCAAAGAAAAAGTTATCATCATTAGCAGCAGCTTAACCAATAAGAGAGGAAACAGAGCCATGCTTAACCACCATAATAAAGGCAGAAGCTAAAAACATCATAACTTAACCACTAAAAAGAAGTGATACCTCAACACTTAACCATTTAGAAGAAGTCCAAAATTCAAGTCAGACAAGGCAAAAACAACAGCAAAATAACATGAGCAAACCATTGCATATGTCAATCTTCGTGAATATAAGAGAAATCTTCAAAAAAGAACTTGACCTAAATAGCTTGTGAGCCTCATTTCATGTCAAAAAAGCAGATCAAGAAATCACAAAAAAAGTCTTCAGCCTAAGCAAAATTGTTACAAAACTTAGGCCCAGATATGAAAAAGAGTTTATCGCTGGAAAGTAGTGATCTTTCTTGGACTGGGATCAATTTGTTCATTATAAATTATCTAAGAATATAAATTTGTGATGATGTGGTCAATGTGTTTAAATCTTAATGCTAAACGTTTTTAATTTTATCTCAAGAATTAGGAAACTAATTTCGTTTTAGAACCAAATAACCAAGAAATTGAAATTAGGTATTTTAGAAAATCTTACCATTAGATGAAACTGTATTTTGAGTTATACATATATTTTTATGCAAAGGGAAAAGGATAAGGGATTTCAAACTCATCCTACTTTTTAATTGTTTTTAGACTCAGTTTCAGTAATTAAGACATTTATATTCTCCAGCTATTTTGTTTATTGTTCCACGTTTTAGTCTTTTTTAGTTTCTGCTCATATATTAATTTCAATTCCAGCAACTTTTAATTCCGTTTTTACAATTCTGTACTTAATCAATTTTTGTTCTGTTGTACTCCATTTTTGGTGACCCAACTAATGTTATTCTTGTGAGTTGATACTTAGCATTAATCCTTATAAATGATAATCTAATTTGTTACTTCAACAATTTGATGCACTTGTCCAAAAGTTTATTAGCTCTTCATTCTACTACAAGATATCCCACAACATCAAATTTGGTAAAAAAATGAAATTGTCTATTTTCCAGACAATCATCATCGGGTACATATTTGGTCCAATTTAAGAAAACTGGAATGTTTTCATTTCCTTGTCATTGGGTCTTCTAGTTTGATTGCCATTCTAAGCAACAAAAGCAAGAGGTCTTTTCCATCACCTTGGTATAATGTTTGAGATTGTTACTTCATTGATGGAGTGATTCTTAGAACTTTTTGAAGTAGATGCTTCCTCTAAGGTCATTCTTCCAACAGAAAATGCTGGCTGGTTGGGTCTTGGAAGTGCCATTGTGTCACTTGCAAGCATTACAACAACAGTGGACATTGTTGGTCTATCTGCTGCATCTTCTTGAACACACAACAGACCTATGTGTATGCATTTTCTAACTTCACTGGCTATGCAAGAGTTTTCCAGAACTGGATCTATCAATTCCAAACAATGTCCTTCACACCATATTCTCCAAGCCTGCAAGTAATTTTGATTTGTGAATGTTGATTAGCTCTAGTTAACACTGTTGAATAATTTGTTGATCAAGTAAAGGTGAAAACTTACATATAAAAGAAGACTTTGACCGCATTCTGACAGATAGAATCCACTGTTCTTTTTACCACAAATGATTTCTAGAACAAGAACTCCAAAGCTGAAAACATCAGATTTCACTGAAAATAATCCTTCCATAGCATACTCTGGAGCCATGTATCCACTGATGAAAATTAATAGAGCTTTTGTTATTTCTCTTACATCAATCAAAGAATATATAACAACTAACAAGGTTCAATTTTCAACCAAGGGCTTAAAACTGCATATATGAATTCTATTGTTTAAAGAGATGTTTGGTATGAGTAGAACTCACAAAGTGCCCATTACTCGATTTGTATTTGCCTGGTTCTGTCCCTTTTCAAATGCCCTTGCCAATCCAAAATCTGATATTTTTGGATTCATCTCATCATCTAATAGAATGTTACCAGCTTTGAGATCTCTATGGATAACTCTGAGTCGAGAGTCCTCATGAAGGTATAAAAGACCTCTTGCTATTCCATTGATAATGCTTAATCTTAGATTCCAATCTAGCTGCTTTTTCTTTTCATTGTCTAACAACATAAAGACAAAAGAAATCACAACACAGAAAAGTGCATGTCAAGGTCAAGCAAACAACTCAAGGAAACTAGCAAATACCAAATGGTGAGTATTGACCTTCGCAAGCAAAACATTACCAGAAGAATTATTCTTTCACTCACTTTCTAGATGTAGCCGTTTTCCCTTAAGATTATCTTACTAAATGATTATTGACTTTATACAGTAACTTCAATTTTCTCATTATGAACACTAAATGAAAAATGTGCTACAATTACCTTTTGGGTGTTATGAAATTGATCTGATGCTTTTACTCTTATAAACAAGAGATGTGAAAATAATAAAATTTAGTAATTGTTTGATTTAGTGTTAATTTTTAATTTTTAAAAATTACATTTTAGAACAATTTTATAAAACTATTTTTAGGAAAAAATAAAAATAAAATTTGTTTAGTAATTCAGGGTATGTTTGATTACCTTTTTAAAAATAGTTTTCCATTTTTAAAAATATAATATAATATAAATTTGTATTGAAATTTATTTTTAAAAACAGAAAAATGTTTATAAAAAGGAAAACAGACACTCTCTTAGTTTTTAAAACTGTTTTTAGTTGAACTTTCATTAATTTTAAAAAGAAAAATAAAAACACCTTAGTAATTATTTTTTCAATTTTAAAAATTAACAATAAAAAATAATTTTTAAAAATAGTTTTAAAATTTACATTAACAAATAAGTTTTTTTTTTTTTATAAACAGAAAACTATATTTAAAAATAAAAAAACAAACAAACAAGTCTTAGTTACAGTGTTTTAAGTACTTTTTATGTTATTTATCTGTCAAAATTAAAATTTTGCCTTGATGACCTACACCAACTATAAATGTTGAGAGTTTATTGAGATAAAACTTCAATTTTAATTTTAAAAAAAGCACCAAAAATACCTAAAAAAATTAGGTCTAAGTTTTGTCTTTCTGCATGAAAATTATAAAACACAACTAATGTTCCCACCTAACAGGTAACATAAGAATAATTATAAATCTTTCTACTCTTTATGCGTAAAAATTCTCCTAATTACTGTTCCTCTTATTTTTTTTGTAAAAACTTTTTATAGGTTGTTGATCCTTATATAAAACCCTTTTATTATTTATTTTTATATATATTTGATCTTCATTATTTAAGATTTCTAACTTTTCAATAAGTAATATAAAACTGAAGTTTGACTTAAACTAGGGGTAAGCTTACAATACTGTAATTAACTTTTCAAAAATCAATACATTAACAATTTCTAACAACTTTTTTTAATATATACAATATAGTTTAAAGATTCTTATAAAAATAATTAAAATAAATAAAGGAAGGAAGTACTAAAAACTTTTATATTTTTAACCTAATAAATACATTTACTTTTTATTTAATACATATTTTATAAAATTGCAGGAAGATTGATAGGAAAACATTGAAGCTCTTAAATTAAACAATAAATTTCAACCATACTCCCAACTACTACAAAGCCCACAGCTGTACCATGTTGAAAAACTTGTATCAAAAACCAAAACGGTACCATGAACACTGTTCTTCAATGAAGCTATCTGAAAAATAAACATACCAAACAGGTGAAAGTTGAGACTTGCATTCGGCATATACTCATATACAAGAATCTTTTCATTTTCCTCCAAGCAGCATGCCAAAAGTCTTACAAGGTTTCGATGTTGCAATTTAGCTATGAACATCACTTCATTTTTTAACTCCTCCGAGCCTTGACAAGAAGCCTTTGAGAGCCTTTTGACAGCAATTTGTCTTCCATCTGGTAGAATTCCCTGAATAAAAAGATTGCAATAAATAAAAGCACTTAGAAAGATGATGATAATAATGAACCGATATGCATAATTCCAAATCCTTAAAACCTTGTAAACGGGGCCAAATCCACCTTCCCCTAACTTTGATGCTTCTGAAAAGTTATCAGTACTCTGTAGAATTGTGATTAATGGGATTGTTGGCAGCTCTGGATTCAGTGTTTCCTCAGTTTGAACATTATGGTTTGAAGATAGAGAAACGATATTGGGTATTGTCCCATCTACAAAGAAAATTTTGAGTTCATATTTGAACTAAAAGACCATATTTGAGCATGAGAAATAAACTATCATTAAAATTCTAGCATGTTCTATGCAGGAAATTACCTATTTTAACCCTATTCCTGCACCAGAAGCAGCAGACGCTGAAACTTAGTAGAGATACTGACCCCAGCACACCGAAGCCAATAATCAATTTTTTGGACCTACTATTACCCCCTTGTTTGGCTGTAACTGTATAGAATAAGAATAATTAATTTTTTAAATCTTTTTCTACAAATTAATCAGATTCAGATTCAATAAATAAACGAAGCAGTAATGTGTACTCCAAGGGAATTATTCCTGTGCCAGAAGAGAGTCATTATTATAAGAGAGCAAAAGGGTATTGATATGTCACCTGTTTGCTGATTAGGCACAATAATTGGAGATGTTTGATTGTGAAGAAGGTAGAACATATAATCATCATACTTTATGAGACAACTTGCAGCCGCAACAAACCACCCTATCTTTTGTTCACAACATTTAGGAACGTGTGCTAACATGGCCTCTAAACACTCTCTGCACTCTTCATTTGTAAGATCTCTGGAGCACTGCACCAAACCATACCTTCTCTCAGTTGAACTCAAATTGAAAGCATCCATATAGAACAACTTGTTGGTCTCCTTGGTAGCTTTTATAATCAAACTTCTCATAAAATCCTCACCTTTCTGAATCTCTTCTAAATTGGATATTTTTTTTGTTCCAACATCATGCCATGTTGGATATGTTGTAACATTCCCAAAGAAGCTCTCATTAGAGTACCTTAGAATGCAAAAATCATACCATATAATAGCAGATACTCTATTGGGGCAGCGCTGAAGAACATCTCTAGTAGCAGTAGAGACACAAAATTGACAAAAGTATCCAACCACATCACCACGGCAATCATAGAGGCCATACACGGCATCATCACCATTGCTGTTGCTTCCTATGCTGTGGTGATTATATCCTTTGCTTGTGGCTGCATCAGAGGATAGCCATGTGAGGATGTTATTTAGGTTGGTTTTGTATGCATGGCTGAGGGGCTTTTGGGTGGTGTAATGGCAATCGTCTCCCATGTAATTGGGTGATTGTGCCTTTGTAACAAGTGATTTGATGCTTAGCAATAGTAGGAAAGAAAAGAAATGTGATCTAACATTGAGTTGTGTTGTTGATTCCATGGAGTAAGGAACTGCTGAACATAACCGATAATTGAATTATAAACCTAGTGATAAATTTCTTGTGGTGACCACACATATTTATGTCTAATTTCCTTTGCTGAAGTATTTGACTATATGTTACATATCCAATGATAGAAAAGAATGAGTCTTGATAGATTTTTGAGTCAAAACAAGTATCTTTATTGGTCCACTCATGCAATTATATACATGTGAAGGAAAGTTTCTAAATTACTGTATATAAATGTAAGAAAATTTATCTAAAAAAGTAATTCTACTCAATGAAGTCTATGTTAATTCAGTTTGGATGAACTTGTAGATAAGTTTTTATAAGAAAAAAAGTAATATAAAAAATAAATAAAACTCTTCTTATAAATTAAAATTAATTTATATTTTTTTATTTTTAAGAAGATTCTATTGTTTTACTCCTCTAAAACTTAATAAGTTTATCAAAAAATATTATTTTTTATAAAATTTATTTACGAATTTTAAAAATATAATAAAGTACCATCTGCTACTTTTTAACTATAAATATTAAACAGAAAAGTGCAATTTCGAAGTTCAATATAACATGTTAGCTAACAGCGAGCAAACCTATTCAATTAAAGATTTTTCCCTTTCAATATTAATTTCATATAATTTTGCTTAATTAATAAGTAATGGCGCATGTTTTTATTTACTATGGTTATGCCTTATTGAACTGAGAAAGTGGAAAATGTCCTTTATTTATATTTTTTATTATTATTAAATATTTGTAAAAAAAAATAGTCCTTTTTTTTTACCATTTACTATGTCAAATTTGAATTAAGAAATAAAATGAAAATAATACAATATTTTGATAACAAATGTTAAATTATTATTATTTATTTATTTAAAAGTCACGTCTAAATTTAATTTGTGACTACTTTATTTATTATTTGAGCTTCTGTTGGCTGTGTTTGTGGACAAAGTCAAACAAACAAACTTGGGTGTGCACGTTAAATTTTAGTCAACTGAAAAAATCTGGTTGCTTGTTTTCCTTATACAAGAAAAATTTGTTATTTTAAGATTTTTAACTTCATTCTTATTTCTTTCAACACTCCAAAGTTGCTAATTTTTAGTGTAATATTAATAATAAGTTGTTATGTTCTAATATTAATTTCGAGACCATGTCTCTCTCCATTAATTTATTTGTGATGATAAAATACCTTAAATTCAGTATAATTAAAATTAGAAAATTTATGTTGTCCTCATATTATTATTTATTCAATTGTTAGGCAATAACATAATTTTTTATTTGAATATAATTGAAATAACATTATCATATAGTATCTTTATTCATCTCTGTCATATCATTTTTATAAGTGTATTTCTCTAATATTACTCAAATAATAAGGTTACGCTCATCCTCTTCATTCTTCACACATAATTTTAAATATCTTAAGTGTGACTTTACAGCACTATTGCAAGTTATGTATCTATTATTAATAAACATTATCACTCAGTCTCATAAGGATGAAAATGTAATGTATATAAGTAATTATATGGCTTTATTTAACCAACAAATGAGTATCCAAAATATTTTTTTTTTATTTAAGGCTTAAGGTCTATCTCTCTCAACATATTTAAAATTATTTTACTATGTGACTTTTTATTAAAAAAATTGTAACTTTTTATTAAAAAAATTGTAACTTTTTTTACTTCTAACATATCTATCCATTAAATATATTTTTAAAACACCACCGACAACTATAGATTCATCAGAAGAGATATTACATGTGAATTCATCAAGTGCATCTCAAAAGCACTGTTATAGATTCATAAAAAATATATTACTATTTTAGTTACTTACTTAATAACACTAAAATATTTGACATAAATATACTATTTTTTTTTTATCATAAATGGAACAATCAAGTACTCTACTACCACAATGAAGCGTCTCCTATATTAACTTTCTCAACCATTTTACTTTTTTTTCTTTATTATCCCAAATACAATAAATTTAGATTTTATAGTAGAATGTATTGTTCAAGTTTCTTTATAAATTTTTAAAAGATATTAAGCATGTTTGCTTCCAAATTTTAAAAGAGTTTTCTCTTTTTAAAAACTAAAAATACATGTAATTTTAGTTTTTAAAAAGAGAAAACTTTTAAAATTTGGAAACAAACATGCTCATTATCTCTATAAAATAAAAATATATATGCTAATGTAGTCTACTTTATTTTCCATTAAAACTCAATTTGTATTACAAAACTATTGATTATAGCTAAAAAAATATGAACTTAAATATACATCTTTAAGCATTTTGAAGATTAAAGATGATAGGATACATTTTTAATGTTTACCGCTTGAATTGAATATAACAACCTCAATAAAATATCTCTATTTGTCACATAAATGAAATTAAATTTTACTCAATTAGGAGCATTCCAAAAATTCTTAAACAACACACTATTTTTTAATCACCTTATAATTATATAAGTATTGAACAACTTTAAATATTCTATAATATATGATTTATATAAATTTATTTAAGTTTTTCAAATTTTAATGAAACTCATTACAAATACACACCATAATATTTAAAAATTTTAATTACTTAAACAACAATTGTAAGTGGACCAATAATTATAATGACATTCATATATATTATAATTTCTCTCACCTTAAAAAAATAAAAAATTTATTTATTAAAGCTCAAATAACTATATAAGTTAAATTACAATAATAATTATAATAATCTACATCTCTAATATACTTTTTAAAATTTTATCTATAATTTAATTATCAAGCAAACAAATAAGAATGTCTATAAAAGTTTAAATTTGTTTGACTACAACAATTTAATTGTAGCAATAACAATAATATAACCATAAATAAAAACTATGTCTTCTATTTTAAATAAAATCCATATTTGTATGTATCACACAACTCTACGTCTCATTTATAAGTATCACATAAATAAGAATTTATCTTTTCATACACACATAATATTTTTTTTATAAGCAAAATATATATTATTAGAGAGAGTTTACGGGGAACTCAAAATCCATATATACAGATAAAAAATATAATACTTACTCCGAAAGATAAAAAGCAAAAACATACTTATACAAAGCTTCAAATATCAATCAACTAACAAAATAGCTTCTCCCTTACTAACCAGTGATAGTCATTTTTAGAACCTCAGAATAATAGAATTTAGGAATTTCCTCTCATCCAAAACACCATTAGAAAACATAATTCTATTTTTATGTAACCACAAAGACCACATTGTACGTACCTAAACAATTAATAAACATATCCTTTCTCTTTTACTACAACCAACATCAATTCAAAAAAATAAATGAGTCAATAAATCTGAAGACAAAACCAGTGAGAATTTAAGTCAACGCGCATTAAAGTACCAGATTTGAGATGAAATTGAGCACATTAAAAACAAATGAGTTGAAACTTCCTCCAAACTATGACAAAAGTAACAAGTTATATAATTAATTTGAATAGCAAACTTTTACAAGGAAGTGCATTCAACAACAATTGCTAAGTAAATATCAAACACTTAAGAGGGAGTTTCCCTCTCCATAGCCTTTGTAAGGTGTCCGCTGTACACCGATCTACACCATTAGGACCACATACACACATAATAGTATATGATCCTATATTTGAATATACGAAATTTTAATTTATTACTCACATAAAATACAATTTTTCAAGCTAAAATTACTTTAATTTATTTCTATAAAATTTTATAGAAATATTCTACATATTTTAAGCTTTTAAACAAACTAAAGAAAATAAATTATTGTTTTTTTTATCTATTATTAATATCAATATATTCATTATTTCTCATAGGACTTTTTTAAAAGAAAAGGTTAAACAATTAAAAATATTATTTCTTTTTTGAAGTTGAAACTTTAAGAGTCTCTAAATCTATTGAAATCATTTTTTTGTATCAACTCACATAAATTGTAATAATAGTTTTATTGGTATGATTTTATCATTAACTTATATAATCATAATTAAACTATTGTTTTAACAAAAATTAAAGAGATAAATTTATTATTCATGGACTTTGTAATAAAATTCAATATATTTTTTTCATAATATGATAACAAAATTCATCATCCAAAATGGTAATCCCAACACAAATTTAATTGGAAAAAAATATCCTTGAAAACAATTGCGATAAACAATCTTGCTTATAGTATTTTAATAAAACATACAATTAAAATTTTATACTCCAACAACTATTAATTTCATTGGACAATGTTCTCATTAAAATTGATACAAAGGTGCTTATGTTTTGATGTTTTAACAAGTAAGAGGTCACATAGAAAAAAAAAATTCAAACGAATAATCATTCTAAAGAACACAATCCCAATTCAGATCCTCATACAAAACAAATATATCATAATAGACAATAAAAGAAAATTTGTGATATTTATCAAATTAACTTTCATCACTGTAACAGCTATGTTTATCTATATTTATAATATATAATTTTACTTTTAAATTATTGGAAATGAATAAACACATAGTTGTAGTGTAGGTAAAAAGTATTAACTTAGAGCCTATATAAAAAAAAAAACTATTAACTTAGAAGCATAACTTTTGTGTAATTTGATATTCAGTTTTGCTCTCCTAAATTAACACAACAACACACTTAACTTGGGCACTCAAAGTCAAACGTAAAGTCTCACAATCAATATCTTAAAGGGAATAGACAATAAAAAACTAAATGTGAGGAAATAATATAAAATAACATTAATGGATCATTAGAATATTTATCTCTCAACAGTAAATAATATAATAAGCGAGTTGATAAATTATTAATATTTTTCTCTCTAATAATTTTAAAAATCAATAGTAACTTAATTCATTTGTCATTGTACTAACAATTAGAAACTTTAAAATAATTCAAAGATCAAAGTACAAGTCTTATTATTCAAGAAGTTCCTAAATTAATCAAAAAAAATTATTAAATTTATACATATACTTAAAAGAATCATATCGTAAAATGTGATTGAAGATCTCATTAAACTTTTTTTTTTATAAATTATACTTTTATTCTATAAATTTAACTGAAGTTTTGATTTAGTCTTGTAACCTTGTTTTTATTTATTTATATTTAATTTAAGCTTTGGTTTACTCTTATAACCTTGTTTTTATTCATCTATATTTAATAAAGTTTTACTTTAATTCTTTCATTTTTCTCAATTTAATTTAGTATTTTAAAAATTTTCTAACTTTGTTTCATTATTTAATTTTTTATGGTTCAAATAATGGTATAGTATTTTGAAATAGGTAACGAGTTTATTTGAAGATGATTAACAAGAAAATTATAGATTTAGAGATTTGGTCAATAATATGAATTGAGAATGACTGTTAAATATTTATAGTAGAGAAAAATAATTTTTTTAAAATAATTTATAAACAATTAAAAAAATTTAAGTGGTGATTTAAAAGTGTTGGACAATAATTTAATATTAATATATATATATATATATATATATATATATATAAATGTAAAATAAAAAATTATTGTTTAAAATGTTATTATTTTAAAAACTTGTTAAATGAAAAAAAAAAGGAAGTTAAAGAATTGACCTCACAAAAATTTAAAAAAACTAAATTGAATGGAAAAAAATATAAAGAACTAAAGTAAAATTTAAATTAAATTGACAGGACTAAATTAAATTTAGCTAAAAGTTTTATAAGTTGCTTACAAACCCTAAATTGTAGAAATTTAGTTAAAATTTTTAATATAATTTAGGGACTGGCAAAGTAATTTAGTCAAGACGTCGGCGTTTTGACTTCTTCATCGGAAGCAATCACTTTCTTTTGCCAAGTTGCTGTGCAGCTATTGGGTGGTGACGTGATTTACGTGACCGACGTATCACTCTGACAAAGCTCCCACGGAGGCATATTCGTTGAATGAATCTGAGAAAGAAAGAGTGAGTGGCGTTTGGATCTGAAATGGGTACATTTGATTTCATCATTTTGATGATGGGTTCACTTTTTTTGTTTAAAGCTCTCGATTTTGCTTTCTGGGTCTCCTTCTTCTGCTCCTTTTGATCCCCCCATTTCAGTGTTTCCCAAATCTGTTACCATGAGAAAGAAGCTGGATACCCGTTTCCCTGCAGTGAGTCTTTTCAATTTCTCTTTCTAAAGTTTTGATCTTTTTCTAGCTTCCTGCTGTTTGGATCCTCGGAAAGCCGTGAAAGAAGGAAAATTTTGCTGATTTTGATTGAACATTTTATTTATTTATTGATATAATTTGCTATAATTTCTGGGATTTAGTTACCTGGCTGTGTGGTGCTAAATAATTGAAGTAGATGTGTGATGTTAATTTAGCTGCTTGGCTTAGTTTGGCTTCAATGTTTTTCACTTCTTCTTCTTCTTCTTTTTTTTTTTTTTTGCTTTTTGGTTCTGTGGTATGAAGTTATTTGATGGATGTATCAGTTGGGACTGCTGAAGCGAGTTGTGACGGGCTTATGCTTTTTGGGTTTTTGATAATTTTGATTCTCCTACTTTCTGTTGTTGACTTGGCAATGAACAAAGCAACCTAATATAAATTCACCAATTCAGTATACCATTGTTAGAATATATCTTCTCTGTAATCGACTTTGTAAGTTGACTCTTACAAATTCTGTAACTGTGTCTACTTCAATTTCTTAGTATTTTGAATCCGGATTAAGTTTTCTTTCATAATTTGTCAATTATCCTTCGAATTAAGGTGAGCTAACTTTTGTTGTCTTTAACTTAATGTGAGGTGAATTGACATCTGTGTTTAATATATAGTGATTTATAATGGAATTTTTAGTTAGGAACTGGTTTTGACATTATAAATTGGAGGAATATATGATGATACAACTGCGGCGGCATTGATCAATTTTTGATCATTTGTAGCCAAGCCCAAAGTGCTATTGTCGGGCACTTCTGTGCTAGACCAGGTGTGAAATATGAGTAAGAGGCAGAAGAGGTATTGGGCTTATAACAACCTTGCCTTACATGGCAACGGGGGTAGGAAGGAAAGGAAAACAATCAGAAGCAATGAAAAAGAGAAGGAAAGGTAAGGGAGAGGACATCCAGTGATTGAGCAAGTTTTGAGGCCTTTGGGCTGAGAGGTGCAAACACTCAAAGTGTGGCAGTGTTCTATCTTTTGATTTCTAGTTTTGTGAGCGATTCTTAATTCTGTAACTGGGATTTAGACCTATTTCTCTGTAATAAAATATGTTGCTTCTATCAGTTATCTAGATGTTTTAGCCATTATACTTTCCCAGCTTACATAAGTCATTTATAGTTAGTCATAATCTTTCAGTAACTGTATTAACGAGTTGAGAGACATAATAATGATATTTCCTTATTTCAAGAGGGTAAAAGTTTTGCGGAGACGGGGAGAGACACTGCTTCTATGAACCTTTAATCAAATTGTAATTATGCAATGTTCATAAATCATATATGTTCCTGTTGGGGATACATTAGTCTTCCTTTGTCTCTTCTCTTGTCTTCTAGCGTGACGTCCTTGTGGAATGTTCCAGATTCTTCTATGTTCTGATGTAGGGGAGGATACCTGAAAAGGCACTTCGATGATGAAGTCAGTATTCGGTATAGGGTAATAAATGCTATTTTATATTCAAAAGTCAACCCTTTACTTGTACCTCTTACTTTCCTTTTATAAGTAAGATATTGGGTTAATGGGCTTCATGACTTAGCCCTGTCTTTAGCCTTCTAATTATTTTAGGTAATTATTATTTTTCTTTAATGATTATATATTTTAGTTTTTAATTATCTTATTGATTTATTTTAACATGATTGGAGGGATGTCTGTTCTTAGGTTAGGCCGAAGAGGTATTCAGATTCTTCTTTTTATTGTAATGACCGAGTAGTGTCTTATCCAGTACAATATAAAAGAATACTGTTTGATGTGATGAAATCTTCAATTTTCAGGCTCGGATAAAGAAGATAATGCAAGCAGATGAGGATGTTGGAAAAATAGCTCTGGCTGTGCCTGTTTTAGTTTGTGAGTTGCTTTGACTTACTGTGTTGTTAACCTTAGGCCACTGCTTGTTTGCTTATGTATGTTGTTGCTCTTGAATGCATTACAGCTAAAGCTCTAGAACTATTTCTGCAAGATCTCTGTGACCGTACTTATGAAATAACTCTTCAAAGAGGAGCGAAGACCATGAATTCATTGCATTTGTAAGTCTGTTATGCTATGTATTACTTTTTTCTCCTATCTCCCATTTTAGTGATTTAGAACTAACTGTCTTCAACTTTGACTTCTTTTAATGTTTTTAGCTTTGGTTAATTGGTTTTAATTATCACTGTCCCTTTTAATTTATATCTCCAAGTTATAAATGGAATTTAGATGCAAAACAGAAAAGTGGTCTGTTTTTAAGTTTTCAAAAATGCTTACTACTGTAAATTAAGTATGAATGGCCAAACATGATTAGAAGTGTTTCCATTTAGGTGGTCATTTACTTGTTGGGGTATGCATCAAGATGTGGAGTAGATTGTTACTTTATTGCTACATCTCATTTATTCTGTCACTTCGACATAATTTTTGTCTCTTATAAACTTGTGTATTTTGTGTATCTTCATTGGTTAAATACATTGGCTTCTACAGTATTTATTGATCTTAGAATATATGTCCTTCATTTCCTTTATATTTTTATTTATTTCTAAAGCCTTTGGCATTTGTATGAACCCAGTACTAGCATGCTGCATGACAACATTTTTCTGGCTTCTAAGAGTCTCAATCACTTGTGCAAGTTGTTAAAATTCAGATCAAAACAGGCACAATTTAAGTGAAATTTAATGTACTTTTGTTTTCTGAAACTACATTTGTAGCTGTGATTTTATTTCTCTGTGCTGACAATTGCATAAAAATATTTTAATATTAATAGAACCAAACATTTTATTTTGTAAAAGATCTGTCAATGTTTTACCATTTTTTTTATTGGCCCTTTTTCTTGCAATTAACTATGTGTATAATATATTAGTATTTCACATGAGGAATCCAAAGAAAAGATAACCCGTTCATTGTAAAAATAATTTATTGACTCTTTCTTTTTACAAAGTTCAGTGTGTATTTCTAAGATTTTTCTTCCAAGACTGGGGTCATGCACAAAAAGCAATGACTGTGTTCATCACTTTCTGCATCTCCTACTTATTTGCACTCATTCTTTTTTGTTTCCTTTTTATTTCTTTTAAAGTCTCTCTTGAGTGCATTTGACTTTAAATTAACAGAAGGTTTCTATGGGTTGTTGAAGAAATCTTTTCCTTGAAGCTTTTGAAGAAAATTGTTTGTAAATATTTTCTTCCCACTTGTCACATTCAAGTATTTTATTTTTATATTTTTGTAAACTTGCCATTTGTTTAACTCTAAAGTCCAACAAAAGTTGTTCTAGTTCTACCATCTGAACAGTTTATCTGGTTGCATTGCAAATAGGATGATAGTTCACTTGTTGAGATTTCAAATTTATGTTGCTCTTGGCAATGATCAAATATACCTAGCTTGCATTCTTCTGGATCGAGTGCTAAATTTTAGGGGGAATTCACCTTGTTTATCCAGATTCCAGAACAATAAGGAATTGATGGCACTGGGGAACTGCCTTTGACAATCCCTAGCATTTCTTATTTTTGTTCTCTGACATCTCTTACTAAGCCAATTATTTTAAGTGTAGTATTCAGATCCTATTCGATTTTATATTATCTTGTTTTACATGTCTGCCTTCCGCATTAATTTTATTTTTAATGAGTGCTACAAACTCTGAAGTTAAGTCTAACAAGTGGTGAGGTGTAAACTGCAGAAAGCATTGTGTACAGAGCTACAGTGTCTTTGACTTTCTGAGGGATGTTGTCAGCAGGGTTCCTGACTATGGCCATGGCCATGGCCATGCTGAGGGTGGTGCTGATGATCGGCCCATTTCAAAAAGAAGGTTTGAACTTTGAAGTCCAATATTGTGTTTTTACCCTTCTGATATTCATATTGTTATTGATGTACTGAACATTAACAATGCTATATACTTTTCCAGGAAAGCTGTAGGTGATGATTGTAATGACAGTGATGAAGAGGCTAAGAGGAGCAAGATGGTAATTGCATTTTTCCTTGTATTTACACAAGCACTTAATAGCATGTAATCTTTATGTGTTAATGTTTGTAGTAACCTTCCCCTCACACCTTTCTGTTCACAATTCCCTCTGTTTTTGTTTCTTTAAGTATTATTGTTCAGCACCAATCATGCAACTTAAACTAACTCTATGCTACAAAAATCATATCAATAACGTAGATGCCCAGTTGTGTCTAACTTTTATGGAAAAAAGGAAATTCCTAGAGTAAAGTTGCTTGAATATGCATTTCTTCACAAGGTTGTAATATTATTTTCTTGACAGAAGTTTACAGTTTTTCACCATAAAAATAAAAACCCATCTGAACAACACTTCCACATGTGCATGTCTACCTCTATTTGGCACCCATAGGTTGTGAAGAAATTATATTTTTTATCTCGACTCAATAAGTGATGATTTTATCATTGTCATTTGTGGACCACAAGAAAATCCTGAAGTCTTGCATAATGTCCTATGTGAAGAATATCTATATAGCAGTCCCTTAATATACCATGTTTTGTTGTTTTCTTTTGTACTAGCATGAGTTGAACCACACTGGCAGTACTGGTAGGGGAAGAGGCCGAGGTAGAGGAAGAGGCCGTGGTCGAGGGTCTCGAAATGTCATAAGAGAGGCATGTCATCAGGATGCTGAAGCCGAGCCTTGCACTTCTGTTCAGCAAGGCAGCCAACTTAATACAAACACAAGTGTGGCAATACATAATGGTCCAGAGTTGAAGGAGAACGTTGCAGTTTCTGTTGTAAGCACCGAGCCACTCCGGAATATTGATCTGAATACCAATACGAACGAAAACGATGACAAAAAGGCTAGCACACCAGCTAATGCGCCATTGCCTGAACCTCCAACAGAGGGCAAACACGAAGAAATTCCAGGTTGGTCCCTTTCTGATGTGGACAAGGTGGCCATTGATTCAATGCAGCTTGCACAGATTGGTAGGCAACTAGAAGAGGACGAGGAAGATTATGATGAAGAGGAAGGGTAAATATTATATAGTCTTTGGGTGATTAGATTAGTGAAAAGCTCATGATAACTGTAGAATAAGTACATACTAGTGCTATGTTTATGAGTATCCACTAGCAGTCAAATTATGCCTCGTGTTGTTGGCTGAAAAAAAAATTCTGAATATCCCGTAATTTTAATCTGGTTTGTGTATGTTAGCAATAGCTTATGTTCTTGTGTAGCTGATGTATCTTTCTCTTAACCAGTAAGGTTAGCTTCGTGTACTTCTAGGCGTATAATGTAGATTACATTCTGGATGGAGTGAAATTTATGCATCCAAACCCAATTTAATATTATTGCAAGTAACTATGTTACTATTTGTAGAAGGCTTAGCTAATGTTTGTTACCCTTTTCAAAGATTGAAACTCAACACTATGTTTTGCATGTCCATAAGTAAGCATTAACATATCTCTCAAATCATCTGAAGAAAATTTACATGTATAAAACGTTGCATGTTGAATCAATCCCGTCTTGTGAAAGCAGAGTCGATTTTTGGATGCAAGTGCACTGGGAAAAGCAATTGTTAGTCTTTACTGCATGTTTGATTTAGTTTAGTATAAACAAATATTTGACTTATTATCTTTATTAATTCATAAAAAAATCAATAATGTCTTATTGCATAAAATTTTAAAGTGCAGAACTTTATCCTATCTTATTTTATTTTTTATATTTGTTAAATAATATCATATGATAATTTATCTTATTTTAATAGTTCAAATTTTTATTTTGAGGAAGGTGATGAATTAGAAAACATTAGAGTATGATAACTTTTTCTTCTTTTATTTTTTCACTCATACTTTGCTTTATACTTTTTTAAATATTTAATAAAAAAAATATTCAACACATTTTATAAAATATAATTTTAAACTTTATAAATTATTTTTTTATAAATTATAATTTCATACAAAACCAAATTTTGACTGTTCAAAAATTGAAAAAACATACTTTCTTATCAAAATTTTAATTATATTGTATAATTTTTAATTCATATATTTCTTGAAAAGTCAAAAGTTAAAAAAAATATTAATTTTGATAAAAGAGTAATTTTATTATTTAAATATATTTTTCTATGTTCTTTTCTTTTATTTATTACAAACATTAAACGGGATTACATAATGTTATATATTTTTCTATTCTCATGTATATCAAATATAAGATAAAATAAAATATTATCCTTTATTATCATATCATATCTTCATTCAACTCTCTTATTTTATCATTTTTCATCCAATTATGTTTCACCAAAGTCTAATATTTTTTTAGTATTTGAGATTTATAAATTAAAATGCTAATCCTTAAAATTATAAAACATCCATCGTTTTCGTAGTTAACGATGAAAATGAACAGATTATTGACGTTGAGTGAGAAATTTAACTTCTTATTAAACTTAAAAGGAACGTTTTACTTAGAATTCAATTTACCTGTGTAGCCAATGATGCCTTTGTTGAGCCACCAATGTTAGTTTTCCTCTACTATTGTCAACAACCATCATGCCATACCAATGGTACCATGGGTCTATCATCCCACCATGTCTAATGCTACGAATTAGCCATCAATGCATCACCCATCAATTGCCTATCTTCTTGTGTGTCCCTGTTGTCCTGTAATTGCAAACCAATCAAGCCTCGTTTAGCCAAAACTTAACCTACTATTGTGCACTCAATTGTGCCTTCATAGACCTACCATAACCCTGGACCATCATGCAACCTAAATAGAACCTTCCCCTCCCCCCTTTTTTTCATTGCATCACTATCATTGTACATCATCCCAAGTCTAAAGCACATTGTTCCAATTTGAATACAATGTGCTTGAGTGTGCACGTAAAATTATTCATATGTTGACATCCATTAATGAAGCATATGAGTTCTTCATTTTTTTTAGTTTAAAATTGTATCTTACTCACTAATGATAGAGGCCCCTATTTGGTTGTTGTATGTGACTATTGATTAGATATTGTTTGAAGAGAAAAGAAAAGAAAGAAAATATGTTAGGAAGAAAGTTTGGTTGGTGAAAACTACAAGAGGAGCTGGATGGAAATGTGAAAGAGAAAAAAGGACGGAAATCAGAAAAAGTGTTTCCTAGGAGGGGATCGGAGATGTCAAGAGGCAGAAGAATAAAAGAGGACAGTCCATGGACTAATGGATACGATGGATAATGTTGAGAAATAATGAAAAAGAAGAGGGATAAAGAGATGAATTTAGCATATCAAAATGAATAAAAAAAATACTAAATAAAATATCATTTTAAAGTTTATAAAAAATCTAATTTATAACTTAAAGTAGGATGTCAACAATTTTTTACTCATTTAACAATAACTAACAATGAAAATGATGAATGTCTTATTACTTTAAGTGCTAATATTTTAATTTATAAATCTCAAGAACTAAATTAAATGCCCCCAACAATCTAGAGCACAAAAGTGAGAGTTTACTCAATAATATAATTAAAAACAAAACTTGAGAACAAACTCTCTTAGTAATGCTATTCAAATGTCCCCACAACACAACATAAATACATTTAAACATGAGATAAATTGTAACATAACCTAAAAGAAATATACATTGCAACTAACAAATAGAAATAACCAAACAACCCACTATTAAAGAAGATATATTTGCATAAAGATTGAATTATCTTTCCTTGCTGTGCTTTGTACTACCCCCGCAGTAGAGAAACAACCCATTATAATTCCCTATTTCTTTACACACACTTCAATAGACAGAAATTTTTGAGTGCTCTTCCTACTGTTGCTCCACACATGATTCTAAGGTTCCTTGTCATCCTCTCCATTACTAATATCAGTATCGAATAGTTTGTAGAAACCCGTGATTTTGTTTTTCATTTTGCAGTTGATTCTTTATTAATTCAATGGCTTTTGCGTCCCCACTTTCAAAAGTCATTGTCTTCATTGGCCATGATTTTGACCGGAATTAATTCCTCTCTCTTTCTGCGTCTTTTCATTTTACTAAGGCCTCCCAACGGCAACTTTTTCTAAGGCATGCTTTTTCCTTTTATGTTGTCACAAGGCCCAACAACAATATTCCTTCTTTCCAATGTCCACACCAGCTTGTGCAGATCCATTACACTATTTTTCTTTCACAAACAATTAACTCACCCAATCTTTTAGACCCTCTAGTCATCTCATCTGCATCCAAACTTGTCCCATTCGCCTCTCCTACTGGTGAAGCCTTCTTGCTTTCGCATACCCTTCTCTTTTCAAGATGTTCTATATACAATTCTGACCATCTCCCATACCAGCTAAAGATACTGCAATTCATTAAATGCTGGTTTGGTGCCAAGGAAACTTAGCTTGTCACATAAAGATATTTTTCCAGGAGTAAAATCCAATTGAACATCAGAACAGCTCTGTACACCTCTTTCAAACTACTAAAACGAACAAAAGTATAGAAGTTTCCTTCTCACTTTTACTTTTTTAATTTTAATTTTTTAGTATAAAAGTATATGAACGACACTAGTAAACTTGAAAATGTAAGTATAAAGAAAGACACATCGTATTGTTGACAATATACTTAGTTCCAATGGGTTTAAAATCAAAAGGGCCGAAAAGGATTAGTCATATTAAATGTAAAAAAACAAGTCAAATTCCTTGGGAATATGTTAAAAATGAACGGTGAAATATCCACATATAGGTTATTGATGTGATACATTTACTGGTAGCTTCCTTAAATATGCCACTAAAGTTGGAAAATAAGAATTAGTTGCCAAGGTAGAGAAAGGGGTAAACAGCAACATACTTGAAAATTGAGATGTGAATAATTTAGGCAATACCTGATAAGTATTATATGTAACAGAGAGAAGAAAAAAAAAAGTTGCGTACATCCAACATAAATAAAATAAAAACTGTAAGTTTAGGAGCCACTCAGGCTAGATATTGCTACTGCGTCCAAGCCTAAGATCACAGTTCGGAATGATCTTGTTCCATCTGATTTACATGGAACCCCCCTTGGTTATTCTTATGTACCTCCACCTTGAATTTCTCTTCCTTGTTTCCCCTCTTGACCTTGAGGAGCATATTAAACTTAGCAAAATCATCGATGACCTGCACAGCAATTTTGTTTTAAACATCGATCAGCAATGATACACCAGTAACTACCCTCGGATGCAGATTTCTAATCTATGGTTTTTTAATCATTAAATTAGGGTATGTATCTTTGGGAGCAATAACATAACAGCAGGAATACATTGCAAGCGACTGCTCAATGGTATGTAACAGTGCTCTCATACTATACTAACGACAACTTGAGAAGGGATCTTACGCTCCCGCTCCCTTTTCAATAATATGATTAGGTTAAGTCTCATGTTAGCTCCACTAATAGAGTAGCTCAGGTTATTTAGAGCGGCCAGAATAAGATTTCACAAATAATAGTATGTTGAAACTTGAAAGGAGCGTCCAAAGAATGTTACTAGCATTCCTCTATTTAAATACCGAAACATAATTTTCCCCCTCCGTTTAGAATTCAAAATGCTTAAAATAGGTTTTAATGTAAACAAATAAAATTTTCTTCCTCGTGGCAGAGTAACAGAAGAAAGCCTCGTATATAAAATAATTGAATAAAAAACACACAAGACCATTAATATAAGAATGCATATATGACACTTAGGTAAAATAACGGTATGAAAAACAAGTTAGAGAAGCAGTTCAAATCTATTTTTCCGCACAAATTATTTTAGAACTACAAATTTATACATCAAATTGCAACCAACATTTCAACTCAGTTCAACCATGTGTCTTCCAAGTCAGTTAAGCAAACAAACTAGATCAAGTTCAAAGAATAAAGCACTAACCTCAGCCTTTGCATCAGCAACCTCATGAAGCTCATAGGGAACTAGTGAATTAGACCTCTGCTGGATGGTCTTGATAGCATGATTTGCTGCATCCTGAACTTGAGGGTCATGTGTTGGCACAGATTGCCATCCTGGTTTGTGTCCATCTGATATCAAAAACAGAAGCAACAGTAGTGTTAATAAACACTTGGGGTTCAAATGTTCTACAAGAGATACACAAGGGCGGAAACCATAAACAAGGCAAATGGCAGAGACTTATACACTAATTATGAGTTTATAACTATAATGATCTAAATTATCCTTTATAACTGAAACTATAATCCCACATACTGAAAGCAACACCAATGCCGTATATCTAGACAGAAAAATCAGACCTCCCTTCCTTAAACCCAATTTAGATTCAATCCAATGATATGATAGCTCTCCAACTTCCATTGATTGGTCCTCCACTCTCTTTACATAAACAAAACCAAGAACAGTAACTCTCTGTTCACTCAAAAGCATCATCTTATAATGACTCAAATCAAAAACACTTTGGCCTTTTGAGAGCCTTCTAATCACTCATACACAAAACATTTATTTCTTATCACCAATTATTAATATTATCACGATATTGATGAATCTTGCTTGATGTATGCAACTTGTGGACATTTCTTATGTCCCCCATAAGAGTAATACAGAAAACCAGATGAACAGTTGCCCTGTTAGTACAGCGTCAATTTTTGGAGAATATAGAAATAAAATAATAAATACCCCTATAAGAATGCTAGTCTTAGTCTTATAAAGATCACAAATGGTTGATTTAAAAATGACATACCCTTTTTGACACCAAGATCAGCATTGGTAAACAATGGTGCATCATCAGCAGGCTTGAACTCTTGGAGTTCTTTGAAGTTCATCCAGGGTTTCACCCACACCTTGGCTTCGTAGATCTTCTTCTCACCCGCATCAATAGCCTCAAGGGTAAGGTGATGCAGGGTACCAGCAACAACCTGTTCGCGCGCCCTCACCACCCTTGCAAACTCGAGAAGTGCATTCTTCAACACAAGTCAACATTTGTCATTCACATAAAAGATTTATTATTGTACTGAACACAAGACAGGATAAAGAAGAAAAATTACTGTGATCACAATAAAAAGAAAGTTCAGCAATTCAATTAATATATCAGCACCATAACTTAGAAAAATATTATAGTAATACGATGATCATAAACCCTAAATTTTAGAAAAATTCAAAATTATGTAATTTAATATTAAACATATGCATATATTTTAATATTATTTGATGAGGTATCAAACAACTTAGATTTTGTGAAACTTTGTAAATTTGATATGCATAAAAAGAATTTTCAACATGACAGTCGGTTTTTTTAAAAAGCTCGATGCTATGGAAAGTTATCAACCTACAGTCACTCAAGAAAATAAGTTGATTCATCCCCTTCTTAAATTGTTACTAACATTAAAGACAAAACTTAGGCACTATTTTTCACTTAAAATTTGATTTTAGTACAAATCAGCATTTAAAGTCATTTCTGTGCTTAAAATTCAACTCAATTAAAACTCTTATAAGGGAGTAGCTTTTTTTAACTTATCCTGCAAAATAGGTTAAATCTACAAAATTTTACAAATTTTAAAAATTATTTGATATTTCAAAACAACTTTATTTTCATATCAATGCATACAAACATCATTAGCTATAAGATTGCATAGCTATAAACATTTAATTTATCCACAACTAAAATTTTATTGGACGATTAAATTAATAAAATCGGTATCTATAAAAAAGTTATTTTACAAAGAAAGGAGTGACTTCTAAGCGGATCCCTTAATAATATATATCGTAAAATGGCTAAGAAGAAAAGAGAAATGTGAAGGAACCTGTTTCTTATTGTGTTCATCGACAGCGAATCGAGCGAGGGCTTCGATTTCGCCGCTGTTCTGAGATCCTTGGGAATCGTGGACGCCTCCGAGCGTGGCCATCGGCGCGTGATGATCGTAGTGCAAGCAGTCAGCGAGCGAAGATGGAAGAGTGAAGAAGAGTAAGAAGAAGAAGAAGAAGAAGCAAAGGGATGTAGTTATAATGGAAGAAGAGGTTTTTCTCATTCGGATTCTTTCTTACTTTGGAATATGAATGAAAGCTTTGTCATGAAGCAGAATTTATTAACCGCAGAGTGTTCCTTCATTTGGAAGACACGCTGCACCGCTTCTCTCTCCGTATTTACTTTTCTTAATCCTCTCCAAACTCTAGTAACACGTGTCCTGTGCATGTCTATTAGATGGACCAACTCTCTATCACATTCAAGAATAGCTGTTTATATATATAATTACATTTATTTTTATATTATTTGATATATTTTTTAAAATTTTAATGATAAAACTAATTATTAAATTAAAAATTTTAATCACATAAAATTATAAATATAAAATTTAAATTTATTATAATATATACTATTAAAATTTATAAAAATAAAAGTTATTTAAAAACAATCTTATAAATCTTTAATTTTAATAAATTCAATATAAATAATTTAGATAATATATAAATATAATTTACCTATTGAATTAACAAAAATAATTTTTTACATTACATTATTAATAATGAATGATAAATATAATTTATATTAGTGTAGTTTGATATATACATATATATATATATATATATATATATTAAAAATATTATATACAGTTTTTGAGAAAGAAACTAAAATTAAAAAAAATGAATTTTATAAAATTAATTAATTTTATATAAAACTTGTCAATGACAATTATTGATTTAAATTTTAAATTTTCATGTCTCTGTAGTTCATTCTAAACTATTATATTTTGCTATATAGTTTTTTGTATTTGAAATATACAATAAAAATTATTTATTAAAATTTATTTTATTTATTATAATTTTTTAAAACATTAAAAGTAATAATATTTTTAAAAAATTAAAATCAAAATACAAAAGATAAAAAACCATATAATTAAAATCTATAAAGTAATTAAATTTTAAAAAAATAAAAAAATCATCACAGCCAATTTGAATAATTAAAAATAAAAGCATTAATCTCATTTAGAATTAAAAGTTTTAAACCATTATGCAATCTTTGAAGTATAACACACACAAAAAAAAATGAAAGAATAACTTGCATGTATGAGTTATAAAGCATCTTTGTCTGAGACTTATTTGGAATAAAAAAAAAGTGAAATTACTTTCTTTTACATTTTATTGCATGTATATTTTATAATTAAATTTAATTAAAATTAATTAAAAAATTTATTTAAAAATACTATTTTATATTATTATTTTTTATTTATATATTTGTTAATTTTATTCTAAATTTTGAAAATTAAAGTTATTATTTAACTTTTTTAATTATTTTATATAAATTTTTATATTTTTTCATATATATGTATATTTATATTTATAAAAAATAATCTTAATTTTTGTCTATTTCTTTAAATTTAAAGTTTACCTATAACAGTCTAATCTTTTAAATTTATGATTATTAATATGTATTGATCATTGACGTAAGTTATTTTTTACATTATAATAAAATAATTAGTTTAAAATAATTTATATTTAAAATTATATAATTTTATTAAATCTTTAATATATTATTCATAACTATAGATTTAAATTAAAATAATTTTAAAAAATATTGTTTAAAATAATTTTAATATATAATTATTTATCAAAATATAAAATTTCATTTTTTAATTATTAAATTATATGTATATTGATTATACAATAAAATCCTTGGGCATTGGACATGCTAGTTTATTTTATAATTTGATGTAAAAAATAAGAGTTATCTAATCTAGATCTGTTGTTGAAATTGCATAAGAATAAGCCATAATAACTATGAATTTATTTCTTAATAATAATTATTAAATTAACCTTTATTTATAATTTATGTGCTACTTCTTGAACAATAATGCTTGAATTCAAAACTACTAATTAACTTTAAATAACTATATATCAATTGATTTATATACTCAATTGCACTGAAGAAGAATAAGTTAAAGGGATTTCAAAATTTTAAATAAATTATAAATTAATTGAATTATATATATATATATATATATATATATATATATATTAGATGAGAAAAACTCATATAATATAATTAGAAGACAAAAAATTATTTTTATCAATTTCTTTATATAAATTATGAGTATATACTAATTTTTCAACTGGAGTATCTTAGAAATATTTTTAAATAATTTTAAGAATTAGTTTTTTTCTCATTATATCAAGTATTTTTTTTACATTATATATTTTCTTAATTTTTTATTAAAAATAACTTAATTTAATTTTATTCATGTAGTGCCAAAAAAATTATTATAATTAATAACAATATATAATTTCTGAAAAATTATTGAATCATTAAAAAAAGTTTAGTCCTTACTTTACTTTTAATAAAAAAAAATTGAATAGTTGATTTGACATTATAGGTACAGAAATTGGATTTAAACCAATATAAATATTACTTGCTCTTTAATATTGTAGATTGTAGTAATAATTTTACAACTAGTAAAAAAAAAGTGATTGAAATATAAATTTATATAAGTTAATTTTTCATCATTTGTCTATTAAATATAACTAAATCTATTAATTTTTGAAAGTAATGTAAAATTTTTCATATCAAATATAAATTGTAAAACTTATTTAAAATATAATAAGATGCATAAATATAATCATTCTAAGTTACAAGATGTTACATTTTCTTTAAAACAAGCATGTGAAGGGAGTAGCAAAGTTTCACTTCCAATATTACATTTACACATATTTAAGTAGGAAGTGATGCGAACATAGGATTTAAATCCATGTTCACAAATTTTATTTATTGTCATATACTTTTTATTAGTCAAATCATAACTATATACATTATTTGTTGTAACAATAACAAAAAGATCACTATTTAAAATAACAAAATTCATGATAATAATATCTTTTTCAGTCATTTTCATTGCTTTTACCTTCACTTTTAAGATCCTTTTCCACTTGCTTGATTCGTCTAGCTAGTAAACACATGTTTTCTCAATCTCACTAGATAAATAGATTGGCATGGATTAGTTACTTTGTCCCATTTAAAAATTGTCATATCACAGGTAATGTCATAAGAACCCGTTATTGCTTCTTTGGACACCTTCATCATTCTTGAACTCCCATTCTCAAAATTATATGATATAATATATGGCCTAAAATAAATACTCTCTTTCGTAAAGTAAAGAAAACAATATGAGATGAAATGAATGGTTCTATTATAATGCAGAGGCATGTCAAGTTTCAAGTTTCTTCCTCCATAGTAAAAGCTTTTTTTCACTACTTTCCATACACCTTCCTTGGATAGGTAAACAATACAATCCATGATAAAACAAAGAATCAAGTCATTGCTTGAACCTAAAATATTGGTTGACTTAGACAAAAAAATTGAGAACATTATTAGATATCCCATATGATAATTTCTTTTCACATAAAGAGTGTAGCTCAATTTTTCTATCGTAAATTTGATTTTGACTACATTAGATGAAGAAACATATGTTGTCTCTTAACAAAGCATTTTGTGTATGTTTCAATGCAAAATATGTTTCCTTTGAATACGTTGTGAATAACTTTCCAACTTTGGGAGCAAAGAAATATTTTAAGAGAGGAAAAACAAAAATAATTTTAGAACAAATATAGGCTTTTTAATGTATCTCTATACTAATATAATATTGTTCACTTTAAGCCAAAGTCCTCATAGTTTTGTTTTTGGATATCATCTAAAAAGCCTCATAGTACTAATAGAGATCTACTATACTTATATACCATTGATCCTCCTCGATTCTAGTCAATGTAAGACTTTATTTGCACATTCCAACAAACAACACTACGAATCAACAAAGAAAAACTTTAAATGCATTTAAATATATAGTAAATTATATTCATATATCATAGCAAGTGATAATTCAATTTTAAAATAGAATATATCTAAACAAATCTTTTTTAAATTTTAAATTAAATTTGGTATCTATCTTTAAGTATTTAATTATAACTGAAAAATATATATCTAAATTTATGTCTAATCAATTTTGCATGATGCAGAATTTAGTAAAAATAGACTGTTCCTTCTCACGCTAGACCACTTCTTTCCATGTTTATTAAATATACAATTTTTTTTATCTAGTAATATAATACATAAGATTTGAAAATAACATATATAGAAATATAAAATTTTAAAAAAATAAATTAAATTTCATAAATTAATTAATATATATAAATTATTAATAATAATTTCTAAACTTTTATATTTGATTTAAATTTTTTTTTAATTTCTATAATTCTTTAGAAAATATTATATTTTGGCATATATTATTCTTCAATATTACATAAAAATTTTCCTAAAATGTTCAATAGATTTTATATTAATATTTTTGAGTTTTATATGTATAATTAAAAAATTGTTGATTAAAATTTTTTTCTTATAATTTTTTAAAAGTTCAAAAATAATAATATATATAAAAAATTAAAATATTGAAATACAAAAGATAAATAAAAAAATAGATAAAATTTATAAAGTAGTAAAATTTTAAAAACTAAAAAATTAAAGTAAAAATCCATCACATCCAGTTTGAGTAACTTTTTTAAAAAATTATCTTGTTTGGAACGAAACTTTTTTAAACCTTCGGATGATCGTAAGCTTTGATTTTGTTACCTATCTCTCGTAACACACTTTCGTGAGAAAATAAATAAATAAAGAAGATGACTTTTTTATAAAATGTTTTTAAAATTAGTTTGAGAATTAATTTTAAAAAAAATACATTTAGTAATAATTGTTGTGTAAAATTTTTTAAAGCAAGTAATAAATTCTTATGTCATATTTTTATATTATTTTTTTATTATCTCTTTTTTCAGATTTCATATGAATACCTATCTTTATATTTGTAATTTTTTATTATCTTATATAAATTTTTAAATTATATATATATATTAATATTTATAATTTCTTATTATTTTATATAAACTTTTAATTTTTATATTTATAACATTCACAATATTTAATATATTATTTGTAATATTTTCAATTAAAATTCTCAGCAAATATTCATATTTAATTTTGTTTAATTTTTTTTAGAAACAAAATTGACATAGTTCTCAAATACTCTTTTCTATAGTTATTTCTTTATTTAATTATAACAAATTTATTTTTAATTATTATTTTAAAATAAAATACTTGTAGATCACATGCACTTTTAACGAGTGTTTTTTTTATATAATTTATTGTTTTAATTTTTCTAACATTTGTAACATCAAACAATTTGTCAAATCAACTAATCTCAAAAATAGATAGTGCTAGACTGCGTGACCTATATTTAACCATGAGGGCAAAGAACATGATGAATAGGAGAGTACGACACTCACCGCAAAACTGGAGGGGTGATTCTAGAAAGAACTGTCATAGATGCAAATTTTGATAATAATAATAATAAATATTCAAATAAAAATTTTGAATGTCAAATGATAAGTATAACAAACTTTTTATTAAAAATTGTAATATTTAATACTATTAATTCATTAATTATATTAATTTTTATTTATTATTAATATATATAATTTCTTGTCTCCAAATTAATTGAATAACTTGTCACCAAATTAATAGAATAGCTTGTTAATCAAATAAATATAGATCGGGGCATAAAAGTTTGAACTTATATACATATTTTATATATAAAATTTGTACGAGATTTTAAAAGACTATCACATGTCTTCCAGTTTAGAAATATATAATTATATTTTATTAAAATTCCTTTTATTTTATTAATGTTTCTTTAATCAAATTAGAAAAAAAGGTGTTATGCGAAAAAATATATTCAAATATCATATATTTAGTTTCTTTAAAGTATAAAGGTGGTCTAAAATAAAGAGGATGATGCATGGAACTGAAGTTAATAAACTTATAATATTCATTGAGATAAAAAATATGATTTCCTAATTTTTATTTATTAATTTTAAAATATTGCTTTTAAATATATTCTTCTTTAATAGAATAATTATTTATTATTTTTAATTTATACATTATAAAATTAAAAAATAATAATGTAATATATTTAAAATTTTAATTTTAAAACTATTTTAATTTAATAAAATTCATATAATTTATTAAGATTTGATTAATTATTTTAAAAATAAAAAATGATTATGGTCAAACATTAATTATGAATGAATGAATTAACAATTGAATGACTTTAAAAAAAATAAAAGAAATAAAATTGAAGTAGAAAATATAGGAAGTTTGGCGCCAAAAAGCAAAAGCAAGCATGGAGTAGGCTGGTTTTGAACATAGAAATATGTTGTGTCAAAGAACTGAAATCAAGGGATCTTTATTCTTTCATGATCAATCAATACGTTTCAGCCAATGATTTTCAACAACGCTCGTAACTCTCGTTGTTTCTGAATTCTGATTTCTTCCTCACTCTCTCTATCTCCTTCACTCTGCTAGGGTTTTCGATTCCATTCTCCACTTCCTCTTCTTCTTAGCAACAATGGCGGCAATGTCTCCTTCCTTCTCTCCCTCTCGTACCACCTGCGCTTCTCTCCTCCGCCAATTGCAGGTTCTTTACTCAATATGGCGCTTTCAATTTTTTCAATCTTTATGATTTTATTAATAATTTAAAAAATTTCACATTTTGTTGTTGTTGTTGGTATTGTTGCGTACTTTAGTTATGCATGTCGTGTGTTAAATTGTTGATTGGTATGTGGATTGAGGATGCGTGGTAAGGCTGGTAGTGTTAAGTTTAAGTGTTGGTGTAACCTTTGGGGTATGAAATGATGATCTGAGTTGTTTTCAACAGATGATATGGGATGAGATTGGAGAGAGTGACAGTGATAGAGATAATATGCTTCTTCAACTGGAGCAAGAGTGCCTTGACATTTATCAAAGGAAAGTTGAGGAGACGAGGAAGCACAAGGCTGACTTGTATCAGTCGTTGGCTGAAGCTGAAGCCGAAGTGGCCAATATCATTTCTTCCCTTGGAGAATCTACTTCCTTCTCACGGGTAGGTTAGGTTGCCTTTGCATAGTGCATTGTTGCTGTTGCTGTTAATATGTGTATGGCTCCCTTTAAAATATTGGGAATGGGACCTGAGATGTGCTAGAGTGAGATGCTTTCGTCTGTTGTTGTCTTTTATGTTAATATAGATAGTTTTAGCATATATCAAATATCAATAAATTGTCTTTCCTGCTTTATTGAGATAAAAAACTGTGTATTCTTAATGATCATACTACCAGAGGCGTGGGCATGCCTACATTTGTAAAGTAATTTTTGAAAGTGCGTTCCACAATTGTATTCTGTTTTTTCTAACTTGTTATTTTCTGCAATTTTCAATGCCGTGTTTTGTGTAGTCATTATGAGATTCTATAATTGATTATTTCCTTCTAGTTTTTGAATTATTTATTACTTACTACAAGTCTGCAATTCCTGCTTGATGGTTCTGAGGTCTCATTTTGCCCCTCTGAACAGTTTTTGAATATTTATTCAACTAATTTGGTTCTGCATTTGACAGGGGAAGGGAACTCTTAAGCAGCAAATAGCTACCATTAGACCTGTCTTAGAAGACTTGAGGTCAAAGAAGGATGATAGAATCAAAGAATTTTCAAAGATAAAGTCCCAAATTTCTCAGATATGTGCTGAAATAGCAGGCTGTGGGCAGTCCAAAAATGTCACAGATCCAAATCAAGGTGACCTGACAGTGAAGAAATTAGGGGAACTCAAGTCACATCTCCAGGAGCTTCAGAATGAAAAGGTTCAACCAAATTCAAAATATAGTCATATAATTGTAGTTCCTATTGCTTAGTATTGTTTCCTTTTTCTCTCCAATCAGATCTTACGCCAGCAGAAAGTGAAGAGTCATATCAGCACTATTAGCGAGCTTTCGATAGTAATGTCAATTGATTTTTTGAAGACGTTAAATGAAGTTCACCCAACTTTGGGCGATTCATCAAAAGGTACACCACAGAGCATTAGCAATGACACGCTTGCCAGATTAACTGGGGTTATTCACTCATTAAAGCGAGAGAAGCAACAAAGGATACAAAAGGTGACTTGTTACTTATGAACTAGATCAAATAGTACAAATGAACTTGTACTTGTCTCTGTATCACCTTATTTGCATGTATGTGCCTTATTGTTGCAAGTAATGTAGTTGTATTGTCTCATCTCATTTGATATAACAGCCAATGATCCCTGTAGAAGTTGTATCATTAGTTACTGTTTAGTTTCAAATGGTTATGTTGAAGTCTCATGTCGACTTCAGATACACCTAAATAAGAGCTTGTAAAGGTTAAAGCAATCCTTAGAGCTAGTTTTTGGGGTTGAGTTAGGCCTTAGCCCAAATTTAAGAGTTATTAGTAACTTAGTTAACTTCTAAATTCCTTTTGTCAGTTGCAGCCTGATAGTTCAGGTTCGTTGCTTGATAGGTTATTTGCATGTCAACATTTTGCCAGTGTTATCTAGTTGATTGAATAGAACTTTACAACACTTGCCTTTTAATCATGAGTAATTAACTATGTTCTGTATTGTAATTGCATACATGGCATGTGCTGGCAATTGAAGCACAGGTTGTTCTAACTGAGCAACATGATAAGTGATGCCCAATTTAAATTTGAATTGAGATGAAGTTGTGGATTTGTATGGACAAGCTAGTGAGGATTAGTCTCCTATAAGTGTATTTTAAGTCAGCTTGGGCTGCAAGTCACTACCAATTATTCAACCTTGTTCAGTCACTTAGGGGAGGCTTTTAGTCTATTTCATAGGTTGTCAGATGATATGGTCTGTTTCTGTGTGTAAAATCATACATGTAATTTCAAATCTTAAAGCACAAGTTTTTTATTTGCAATTGCATATACTTAAACAAACTAAATTGGTTCAGTGTCAAGAAATCCATTCCTGCTGGTTGTGCCTTTACTACGATCAAAATGTACCTATCATAACTGTCTGAGTGACTTTGTTTACAATATTAAGGAACTTACATCATATGATCTTGTATCCAGCATTATATTCATGAATTGTAATGTTGTCCTCACTACTTGGCTACTCGCTAGAACTCATTTTCTAAATGATTGTAAGAATGACAATAACCAATTCAACAGTTTTAAAATTTAAACTGATTTTGGCCAAAAATTGATGTAAATGGAGTTAACATTGAACTGTATTTGTTTTTGATCTGTCTCTTGCATAATTATTTTGATGTTTTCATATCTTGCTTTGGATTCAATTGAAATTTGGAATAAATTATATAACTTATTAGATCTTTGTGTTATGAAACTGAAATTTCTGTTTATGGAAAAGTTTAAGACAAATAAATGAAAAAAGAGTGATAACTTTCTCATTTCTTTACAGTTGACATGAGTCATCTTGTAAAAGGGACTAGGTTTGCTCCTTTTTTCTGTGGCCTGAGGATGTAATGATTTGGTTGAAAGGGTATTACTGTTTTAATTCATATAAGCATATAAGAATGAATCTTGTTATTGATCGAGCACTTTATTTCCATCAGGTTATAAAGATTCATTAATCTTATATTCTTATTTTACTTTCCTGTAGTTACAAGAGCTTACTAAATTGCTGGTAGGGCTGTGGGATCTTATGGAGACACCAATGGAAGAACAAAAGGCCTTTAGCCATCTTACTAGATTAATTTCAGCATCAGTTGATGAAGTGTCAATACAAGGGTGCCTTTCTGTTAATGTCATTGAGCAGGTGAAACTCGTGTTGACTTGAACTTATCATGCAACTGTTCACTTCCATGATTTAAGTTATAGTTGCTGGATTGCTTATATTTTTTGCAGGCTGAGGTTGAAGTTCAGCGCTTAAATGTTTTGAAAGGCAGTAAGATGAAGGATTTAGTGTTTAAGAGGCAGCATGAGCTTGAAGAAATTTACAGAAGTGTTCACATGGATGTGGATAGTGAAGCTGCCAAACAGGTTTTGACTAGCCTCATTGAATCTGGTAGCTAAACTATCCTCTTTTTTTTTCTCCTTACATAGCCTATATATTATTGAACTTTTTCTTTCTATCTTTCTTTCTTCAAAATTTATTTGTGAATGCTTGCAACCATATCTTTATTTTTCTAATATTTCCCTCTTAATTTTTAAATACTGTAGAGAATTTTTGCTTTGTGTGTTTCCAAATTGTCTGTACTTAGCTTTTATTATTCCTTGAACACTAGCTTTTATGGCCTTGCAGGTAACATTGATCTTTCTGATTTGCTTCAAAGCATGGATGATCAAATTATAAAAGCCAAAGAGCAAGCTCTCAGCAGAAGAGATATCTTAGATAGGGTAGGGAAATGGAAATTTGCAGCCGAGGAGGAAAAGTGGCTAGATGAATATGAAAAGGTAGACATATCTTAAGTTTATTATTCACAAATATGCCATAAAAACAAAAAAAATTGCCGGACATTTGCTATATTATCTGCATTATTTTGCAGATCCATTTAGACAAACAACCCAAAAGATAGGCCATTAGCATTATGTTGAAATTATATGATTTTAGGCATTGAGGGAGGAAATTACGTGAATAGAGACTTGGAATATTCTCGAGTGTTGTGAAATGTTACAGAATGATAATCTAGTAGTCTTACATACTAATACTAGAGACCTAATCCAAATCAAATTCAAATAAAAGAATAAGTGACTTCCTATAAGATAAAATCCCTAAAACTAATAAGGATTCTAAAAACATAAAATTCCTAAAAGTTTTGATGACTCAATTATCCCTAAAAGAACATAAATTATCCTAATCTATTATGTATCCTTCTCTAACAAAATATTTTGTAGATATTCTAACACATCATGTACCTTTTTCATCCTTTTTTCAGGATGAAAATCGATATAGTGCAGTAAGAGGAGCACACAAAAATTTGAAGCGAGCAGAGAAAGCACGGATTCTTGTCAGCAAGATAGCATGTGAGTTATCATATTTTTTTAATTTGTTTGCATTTATGACTTCACTATGATCTAGAATTTTGATTTTATGCTAGATAGTTATGCCTTCATGGTAATGGAAAAACTATGGAAATTAGTAGCTGCTTATGCTTGAATTTAAAAACCATTAATATGTTATTGGTTAGAAAATGATATTAAATATGAACACTGCAAGATTCTGAACAGATGTAAGCTGTGGACAAGCTTGAGTGAATAACAACTCCTAATGTGTAGCATTTCCATGGATCATTAGGAGTATTAATGAATACAGTTCGATATTGTGTTGACCCTTTGCTTGTTTTATTAAAGGAAAGAAGTCACACTAATATCTGATTATATTTGACGAATTATTTAAGATGGTGTGCTAGAAATGAAATAATCTTTGATGGCAAACCAAAAAGTAGCAAGCAAAACATAGAGGTTAAAATTCTTATAGTAGACACAATAGCTTGTTTATTTCAGCTCTTTCTCATGAAAGTTTCTTTTATGTTGAAAAAATCACTTAAAAAATTCAGTGTTTAAGTTTTTGAAAATAATCAGGAGCTGAAAAACTTAGAAATTTTCTTGAGAAGCTATTAACATAACAAAAAAGCTGTAATTATAACTACTGTTTAAAGTAAAGTGCTTTTTATAATTGTAACCAAACAAAAAATAGTTTCTACTTTACATAAAATTTCTGAGACATAAATGACTATTTTTGTACATTTTTAGAAGAAATTTTTCTAAAAGGTTAACATATGTCTTTTCTAGGTTAGTAAAAACTATATGAAAATATTTTTTTTAGTGATACTTTTCCTTCAACTTTCGTAAGAAGTGTATAACTTTTGTTGTAGACTTTCTTACTATAAAACTAAATTGATTCTTTGTAATTCTAGTTTTTCTTATAACTTTACAGTGTAACTCAAGTTTTATCCCTTGATAGTTCGCATAATTCTAGATACTGTACTTGTTCTTGTTTATCGGGACCAAATGTTCTTTTTCTACTCATTTTCTATACTTTTAGATCTCAAACTTTCATTAAAAAATTTATCAAGGTTGACTACTTTATCATTATCTATTTTTTTTAGGAGTTTTTTTTTACTTCTTCAACTTGAATTCCATGATAATATGCCAAATTTATTTTATTCTCTTGGGTTTCTAATTATTCTATATTTCCATTTGCTCCTCGTCCATCTTTAAAATGTTTATAAAAATAGTTTTTTATTCGTCTTTAATGTCTTGATTTGTATCCAAAACTTTTTCTTCTTCATTCTTGATACATCCAATTTGTTTCAAATTTCTGTATTTTCTTTCCCTATTTTTGACAAGCTTATATGTCTTATTTTTGTCATTCTTTGTCATAAGATTTTGATAGAACTTCATTAAAGCCTTAGATTGAACTTCAAGAGTACATTATTATCATGTTCTATTTATACTTTTCGAAGTTTCAAGTCGGGCCTCTATGAGCTATTTTCCAACAAAATGTCTGGTATTCCTCTGAATCTTTGCTGTTCGATACTTCGATGATGGACAGTTATTGTGCACAATGTGTTAAAATAGTAAATTAAGGCTAACTTGGCCATAATTTTCTGTACTTTTATATATAAAAGTGACCACTAAAGTGACTAAAGACTATTTTTTCCCCACACTTCTTGTTAATTTGGAATGAAAATGAAAGTCCAGTTAATAAATCAAAACCTTAGTTTATGTACTCAAGCTGGCTGATTAGTGTAATTGGTGATTAATTTTGTTTCTCACCGTTTGAATATCATAGATGAAGGATTGACATGGTTCAATTGATAAAATATTATACATAAAATAAAAGCAGTAAGGAGCTCTAGGTGATAGCTTGTATATTCTTCCGGGTGTTTTCTTCATTGTTTTAGCACTAACTGTCTTTCAAGAATTTTTCTGAACAGCTATTGTTGAGAACTTGACTGCAAAAGTAAAAGCCTGGGAAATGGAAAAAGGAATACCTTTCTTATATGAAAAGGTGATGAATTGTATTTAATTTTATTTTATTGTAGTATGTTTAGTCAAGATCTAACTCAATTATTTTTCAGGTTCCATTGTTACATATCTTGGATGAATATATCGTACAACGGCAACTGCGAGAAGAAGAAAAGCGCAAATCTCGGGTATCTTTCTGTCAAATTTTTTCCCTCTTTCTAGTTTCTACTCTTAAACCTGTACATCTTCTATATCATTGAAACGCCTGAATTTTATTTTTTTATGGCGGGTGCTATTCAGAATGAAAAATAAATGTGAATTCCCTTCAATGCTCGTATGTTGCGATACTTTCTATTTTTCACGTATGGTTAATAAAATTGTCAAACAAATTATTACTTCCATTTCTTGTTATGGTCAAGATCCCCTTCATTTTATTAAGGGGAAAATTTTGGATAAGCGTATTTTGGCGATGGCTAAGCATTAAAACGAGTAAAATGAAAAAGCGGAATTTTGGGTTTCATCTCTGAAATATTAAGCAGCGCATCTATTATATCTTTTTCAAAGATCTCAATCTACAATTAAGTTTGAAACTTTTCTTTGTGCTGGAAAGTTGGCTGCAATTTTTTGCTTCATCTTGTGAGAAGTTTTTCCTTTTGTGTGTGTGCACGTTACTCAATCATTTGCTGACTTAATGTTGGACACTTTTTGACCAAGTCTTCAATTTGTTTGACATTAATGCAATTGTTTGTTTTCATCAACTTTGAACATTTTATTACTCAACTGCTTATTCTGGTATACTTAACAGGAGCAAAAGCGGCAACAGGAACAACAAGTTGTAGAGCAAGAGACACTTTTTGGTTCAAGATCTGCAACGAAAAAGCCTCTGGGGCATAGCACTACTGCTAACACCATAGTTGGGACACCAAATGGGCGCCGCATGCTTGCTTCTTCAAGCCGTTATGGAACCTCAGGAGGAAAGGAACGGAGAGAGAGTGGCAGACTAAATAACATAATTCCAGTAAACTATGTTGCTCTTCCCAAAGATGATTCTGTTTCTAGGGGAAGTTAAGGCGACCCTCAAATTTGACTCTTGTAAATCAGTCATCTTTGTAAATACGCTTACACTACAAGCTCTTTGTTTCCTACCAAAACTTTATATAAAAGCTTCTAGAATTTTTTCTTTTTTACAAAAACCATGGTTGCTGAAATATTGTGCTTTGTTGCAAAAAAATTTTGGGAGGGGGGGTGGAATTTCATCTGGATTTAAAAATTTGCAGGAAAAAATTATCTGCTAAGGGTTTTTCTGCAAACTTAAATCAATAGGAAAATAATAAATTTTTAGTGACTAGCTAATTTGATCCCTACAATTTTGGAGACGAAAGTGAGGGTTTAATCATTATAAATAAAGATACGTATTATGAGCCTCGGTGGAATCCATATCAGGCAACTTTCTGTCCAAATTGAAAAAAATATGAGTTAATGGAATCCATAACTATACGCATTAGAAAAACATGCAAAAGGAAGAGAGAGAGAGAGAGAGTTTATGATTCTCTTTTCTAGTTTGACTTGTCGGAAAATTTTATGAAATTACATATTGCTTAATGCAACAAACCAGACCCCTTTTATAGCAACCAAAAAACACATACAAAGGAGAAAGAAAAAGTTGCTAGAAAAGAGCATAATGGCGATGATTAGAGATTAAAAAGAAAAATCATTCCTAATTTCCTATTCACATTCCAGATTGCTTAAGCCTTTGCCTCTTGGTTAGCTTTCACGGGAGGCTCACGAATAGGCATATTTAATACGATGGAAGAGGGCTTGTTGGCTTCTCCTTTCTGACCATATTTGACTTCGGTAACATTATTTGGGGCATCAATCACTGCCCCTGCAATTACTCCAATTTGAGCATCCTTTACAGGCAAGGGAATTTCATCAGCCACTTTGCTTTCTTTTTGCTCTTTGTGCTTTCCCCACAGAACAGAGTATAACCCTATAACAATCAAGATGGCCCCAATCACACTGCACCCAAGAGCGGATAAACAAAATCTTTAGTTTGTTTGGAATGAACCTAGCTAGAATTACTCTTAATACACATCGTATACATGGGCCAACGCCACTGTTTGAGGTGATTGATTGATAGTCATTTTATTCAGGCAAATAATAATTCTATTGAGAGTTTGATTTATCTTATTTTATAAAGTAATATATATATATATATATATATATATATATATATATATATTCAACTTCTTCAGATAGCTTTATAGACAAAATAAAATAAAATAAAATAAAATTTTAAAGCAAATTTTCGCACATGCATGACATATACGGAATATGAAGTCTTGCCTGTCTTCATGTTATTTCATGAATTTAATTAAAAATATAATGATAGCGTAAATATTAATTCCTCCAATTATAAATTACTATAAATTATTAATTTTTATAATAATTACTATAAAAGTTATATCTAATTAAGGTGACATGTAGTTAATTAATAATTTAAATTTTTTATATTAACGTATAAAAAGTTCAGTTTCAGTATTAGTTGATTTCAATAAAAAAAAATTGTTATTTTGAACCAGTCCATGTAAATATTTGCAAGGAGAGATAGAAATTTACCCCCCAAGATAAATTTGTTCTGCTAGGATAAAGGAACCCATGATGGCAACAATGATCATCATTAAAGGGCTAAAGGCAGTTGCAAAGACAGGTCCTTTCTTCTTAATTACCAGTCCTTGTACATAGTATGATATGCTTGAGGTCACAATCCCCTATATATTCAAATATATATAAACAAATGAATAAGAAAAAACTATACGAACACCTTTGTAATAAAATTAATAATTAATGGAAGAGGCAGTTCTTATTCTTACGGCATAGGCAGCAGCAAGTAAGTTCATATCCCAGCCAATTCTCCATACAGAAGGATTGTGTTCAACAACAAAAGTAACGGCAATAGCTTGAAGAGTGCCTATAAAGCACACAAGGGAAGTGAGGCTCAGCTGATGATTCTTGTACGTCTTTATAGCTTTGGCCTGCCCAATAGCATTTAACATAAATGTCAATTACGTAACATCAACAAAAGGACCCACTTACTAACACAAGAAATGAGAGAGACTGCAAAAAGTAAGCAACTTTTTTTGGATAAATGTTAAAGACAATTCTTTATACTTAGTGTTGCACTTTAACTAAAACTAAAACTTTATCTTGAAAAATATTATCAATTTTTATTATGCTAGTTAGTGGACGAAACTCTTAAGTTAAAAATGATATAAAAAATACTTTAAGATATTATATCTGAGTTTTTTTTATGATGTCTTACTTGTAAAACAAAGAGGGAAGCCCAGGCAAGGGTGGCAATGATAAGGAATATGCAGCCTAAGAACCAATCTTTGTCTGGGGATCCTGTGGTGCTTGTTGCATTGGTTTTATTGTGAAGATCAGCATGTTTGGCCCATATCAGCTCCACTATAGGACCTTTGTACAGGGTCATCAGCATAGCCCCTGCCACTGTTACTAACGTTCCCCCTATCTTTGCTATGCATCTCACCTGCTTTATGTTAATTTTCTCCATTCTTTTCATATATTCCATCCATAATAAGAAAAGAACTATTAGAGATTGATAGAGATAAAAAATAGAAACATTAATAAAAGTAACTATTAGAGAGAGACAAATATTAGAAATAGGTGACTTTACTCATGAAACAGAACTTTAAAATTATTCTTTTCAAGGTTTTGGGTTAATTTACCGGCATAGAACTGCCATCACAAAAGTCATGGCTGGAAGCATGTTGCTCATTGCACATGAGAAGGTTGGCGATGTGAGCTTCAACCCAGCATAGTAGAAGTTTTGATCAACCACAGGCCTGTTTTATTAATATATTCCATCACAATATATAATCATATTAAATTATGCAACTTTTTTACTTTCATATGTTTAAGAACATGCTGTAATAGAAAACACTTTATTGTACTAAAAAAGGACTAACCCAAGGAGAGCTAGGACGAAAATTTGCATGAAAACTGGAAATGTTATCTTGGGTTGACCTTTCCTGAAAATTTGGAACCACTAATCAGCATTAGTTTGCAAAGCCTTACGTTAATAGAATAAAATAACAAGTTCATGACTAGCTCGGTAATTGTAGAGTGTATGTTTATTATATGAACCTTTCAAAAATAAAGGCAAATGGAGCAATGACCGCGGTGGCAACAGCATGGCGATAAACCACAAGGACATAGTGGCTCATGCCTTGGTTGAGAGAGACCTTAGTGATAATGTTCATGCCAGCATAGCCAAACTGTAAAGAGATCATGGCAAAGTAGGGTTTAGAACTCTCAAGGAATTTGGAACTATATCTAAGCTTTTCAGTGGCCATTTTGATAAGGGTAGAGGTTAGTCTTTAGAAAGGGTGAGCGTTCTTTAGAGAAAGAGGAAGAACACTTGAAGAAGGTTTGTGTTTCTTCCTAAGAAATATCATGGGGATGGCTAGGCTATTTATACCAACTAGGAATGATCAATTGTTAACGTCATATATATATATATAATGCAATATGGCTCTTCTTTTCTCTCTCTTGTAATAATGGGGGGCAGCACGACAATGCATATATTAATGCTTTGGTAGAAACATCGAAGCAAAATGAACAATATGATAATGGAATCAAAAGTGAATAAAATAAATAAAGCTTTGTCGAGAGTAACATTTTAAAATAAGCGGACAATATTTGCTTGCAACAATGTATGTTTTTAATAAGAATGATTGCTCTTCATGATATTTCAAAATAGGATCATAATATTTACTTTGTAGTTCTCTTATAGTAAATTAATACGTGTTTTTTTCTGTCCATTATTTGAAATTAAGATCCCTCTTCTTTGACTAGGCATAGGTCCCACAATTCTGGCAGGGCCTATGAATAATAACTTAATCAAAATAGATATAACTTTTGTAGAATACTATTAGGATGATCATGACACTAGTAAATCTGTGTAATTAAACACACAGATAAAGTTATCTTCATTTCAGTGGGCTCGAAATAAGTTGTTCCTGTTTGTTGTTTGAGTACAACTATTAAAATTAATTAGTATGCATTATACGTAAAAAGGCTTTTATCCAGACATTAAATAATATTTTAATAAATTAATATTCATAATTTTTATTTTCTTTCTTGAGAGAATAGAATAATTATAAATAATCATATGCATGTGCCCTCTTCTAAATAAATATATGTGTTGTCAGAGTCGGCCTATCCATAAAACAAGTAAAACCCTTGCTTTAGGCTTTTCAAAAAAAATTTTTTACTAATAAAATTTTTTATTTAAAAATTATTAATTAATAATAAGTAAAATTCAATGTATTATTTTTCTATAGGCCTCGCATCTTATTATATTTTCTCATATTTAAGTAGTAGCTACTTTATTGAATTTAATTAATTTTTAAATTATTAATTTTAAGATCGACTATGTCTCAATAAAAATTTAAATTGATTAACTTTATTGTTAACTGAAAAAAATGTTAAAGAAATTATTATGATACATTAATAAATAATTTTGCATCTTAAAAAGTTTGAAAAATAATTTTTATATAAAATTACAACATTTTTTAAAAATATTTTAATTAATTTTAAAAGATATTATTTTAAAAATTACTTTAGACCAAAATAAACATAGAGCTGCCCCTGTGTGTTGTGTCAAGGAAAAGTAAATATCTGTCTCTAGACGTAGAATAACATATCAACTCTAAATTGAAACCCGAAAATCTATTACTTGTATCTTTTTAATTTTTCAAGGAGGGTGTTTAAAAATTTTGACTCAAATACAAAGAGTTAAGATAACATGATTGCTTAGGTGAGTTGAGAAGTAGCTTGGAAGGAGGTAAGTGATCTTAATTGGTATAAAAAAAATTGTATTGGATACTCTCCTGTTTTACTCTTAGGAATTTATTTTTTCTCTTTTGTAATTGTTGTGAAATGGTCAATTCAACGGTTGAGATATTCTTAGGATATTATCTAGGTAAAAGAATAATTTTATTGGCGAGCATAAATATAGATAATTGCTGTTGTTTTATTAATAATTTTTGTTTATTTAAAATATTTATATTGTTTGAGTATGTTAAAAGAATTAATTTATTAATAAAGAATAAAATAATAATTAAATTTTATCCCACTAAAATAAGGTTATATATGCATATTATATAATGCTATTGAACTTGATCAAAAATCAAATTCTTAACCAATAAAAGTTAGTCCGAGTCGCAAACAGCTCAATATTATTTTAAAAAGGTTTCAAGTTCAAGTTCTTGTATGTAATTTTTTTTTACATATTATTTGTCTAAATTTTTTATAACTTCTTTTAAGATTTTTTTCAAGTCCTTGTATGTAATTTTTTTTTTTTTACATATCATTTCATCTAGTCTATTCGCTAATACTTTCAATAGCCTTTATTGCACGTGATCAAATTATTATAGGCAATTTTTTCATCTTTTTTACTGTAGGTATTATTTCAACATTCTCGTGTATATACTTTTTTCTTATCTTGTCCTTCTTATAAAGTCTATTATCCATCTTAACATTTTTATTTCACCACTTCTACTTTTTTTTCTAATATTATTCTTTTAAGATCTAACATTGACTACAATATAGGATAATTGATCATATTGTAGCATGATAAAACTTTCATTTTATATATCTTAATAAATACTTTATAATTACAAATAACTTCTAATATTTTTCTTTATTTTAACCACTCGTATTTTATTTATAACATCATTAATTTTTTTATCGTTTTGTAGAATGGATCACGAGTACCTAGATTTGGAGATTTATGGTGTAATATATCGTCTCTAATTTTAACTTTAAAGCACGGTGCTCCATCTTGGTTTTTGTTTACTAAAATTGCAATAAATATATTTTGTTTTATTTTTGCTCAACCAAAAATCTCTTAACTCTAAAGTTGTCATTTATAACTCAACTATAATGCTCTTTTTTTTATTTTTCAACCAACATTATATTATTTGTAAAGAGCATGCACTTAGATATAACTTTCATAAAAGATATATAGTTTCTATTGTAGACTTTCTTGCATAAAACTAAAATGTTTCTAGACAATTCTAATTTTTTCTTGTAGTCTTTGCTCCATCACCTTTTCACACAATTTCATAATGTGATTCATAAATTTTATTTATTCTTATTTAGTTCACATAATTCTAGATTTTATTCTTATTCTTCTATATAGGGATCAAAGTCTCTCTATTCATTGACGTATTCTTATATTTTAAAATTTTAGTAAAGAGTTTAGTAAGCCATTAAATTTCTAATTTTTCCATACATTTCTAAACTTTAATAGAGATACTATCAAGGTCAATCACTTTATTATTGTTCACTCTCTTAAGAATTTTTTTTTCTTTTTTATAATATGTTAAATTTAGATAGTAAATGAACTTATAATCCTTTTATATTTTTATTTGTTTCTTGTTCATCATTAAAAAATTCATAGAAATACTTTTCCATCTACTTTTGATATCTTAATTTGTAACCAAAATTTTTCTTTCTTCATTCTTAATACATCTAATTTGGTCTAAATTTTTAGATTTTCTTTCTCTACTTTAATACACTTATTTTCTTTTTCATCATACTTTATCTCAAGATCTTATAAAATTTCTCAAAAATTTCAAATCATGCTCTACTCACTATTTTTCTTGATTCATTTATTATATTTAGATACCTCTAATGTTCAACAATGTTGCATACATATGTGTTTCACTCACTGTCATTTTTGACCCAAGATCTTTAAATTCATTCAAATTTATCTTCACAACTCTCTCAATTTACCAATTTATTAAAAAAAATAATAAATTGCTAAATTTAGTAATTAATTTCAATAAAATTGTAAAATTTTTAAGTCTGTGTAATTTTTTTAAAATAAATAAATAAATGATAACAAAGATATTTAATAAATAATTTGAAAGGAAGTTATCTTATACTGGTATACAAATTGTGCTCAGATTATTTCCTCTTTTTCTGTAATTATGGTTCTTTGCAGCCGAAATATTGACCGAGTATCATATTTTTTTTCTTCTTTCTAATTATTGTGCAATGATCAATTCAACAGTTGAAATCTTTGTGGGATATTAACTAGACAAATCACGAAAACACGCCGTGAGAATCCAAATTGATAAAAGAAAAGAAATTAGAATGATTCAATTTTAGTCTCTTTGCGAAATAGAGGTGGTAGTTGATGTCTAAAATATTTAATGGTATTTGAATATATGTCTACTGCACTTGGTATGATGATTTAATGCCGATTTGCCTACTTCAATTGGGGAGTTTAATTTAATTGTTAAAATTTCTCTTCTAGGTGATATATCTTCAAGTTAGGTAGCTATTAACTCCCTTGAATTGGTTCTCTTCTTATTTAAAAAGAAGGATTCGTTGCTGTAAATTATAATGTTCAGTTTTGAGAGGATATTTTGTCAGGATCATAGCTAGCCCGACGGATTGTATAGCATTTTTGAGTTTAACTGCAAGGTGTGAAAATTGGGTTTGATTGTCTAGTTGGAGGGTTCTATTCTCTTGGGAGGAAACCTAGAAAACTGAATTGCTTGATTTGCTAAGGAATGTATGTGGTCCCAAGTAAAGATAAGCATGACATGTGCGTGTGATCTTTGGAATGCTTTGCAAATTTTCATCTAGACCATACATGTAGCTGTAAAATTAAAATAGCTTTTCTATACTTATTCAGCTTTCTTCTAATTTTCAGTTGATCTTATTTAAAAATTTAGGAAACTTTGTCCCTTCTTAATCTTAGCTTTCTCTTGGCAAGTTATTTGGGATCGAATCCCAACTATAAGTAATTTACTTAAGAGAAATGTTGTGGCCATCACCATTATTCAACCGGTGTGTTCTGTGCCTCTCATAGAGATTGGTGAGCTTGTATTATTGGTTTGGTGTTACAATTGCTCTTCCCTCAAATAATTGTGAGCAATATATATCTTTTCCTTAGATTTTCTTTTACAATTTTTCGGTAAGGATTATAAAACATGCTATTCAAATACTTTGGCATGCAGTAATTTGGTCCCTTTTGACTGGAGAGGAACGCTATCATCTTAATTTAGGCATAAATCCATAAACATTTAAGCTTGTGGATTTATAGGTTAGATCATTGTCGTAGCTTTCTGCTAAATTGGGCGTGTCTTCGTGCTTTTCTGATTGGTACGTAAATCTCACAGATATAATGAAATGCTTGTGTTAAGTTGTTTTGGTTTTCTTCTCTGATTTATTTTCGAGGATGGGTGCTAATTTGGTTAAGGTTGTTTTCCATGGAGGGGTTGTTGTCATCTTTTTATATAGCACTGGTGTATCCCTTTTATTCTTTTAATATAATCATTTCACTTATATAAAACTAAACCATGTCAAAATATTATGCTTGAATCCTGTCTTGATAAGAAT